AGTGAGCAGGATAGATGATCCCACAAGTCACCTATTACACAGGTATTCAGCGTGGTGCTCCTCAACACTTGGGCAGCTCTACCACCAGGATTGGAGGGACTGAGTGAACCAGTCTTGTAAAGCAGTCTTTAAGTGGCTGTGTGTATGGGTGCAGCCAAAATTACATAGAAACAGGGTACATAAAAAACACAGAAGTGACTGCAATTTGGGATGGCTTCTATAATGCACCTAATTTTCCATAACTTGTTTTCTAATTCTGCCTGCTATACACTGAATTTTGTTTTCCTTCTGTGTTCTCTAAAAATCTCAGAATATGTATTTCCCTCTAATATGGAGGAAAGTTCATACCATTTCTTCCCTTCTCCCTGTTTAGATCATCTGCGACATTATCTTGCAACTGATGGAGGAGAAATTTGGTGGAGACTGCAAAGCCTCCTTTGAGAAAGTGACCAACGAGATCTGCACTCACCTGAACAACATCTACAAAGAAGCGGGTTGGTGAGGGCAGGTGACCTTCAGGCTCTTCAGACTTCTCACCAGCACTGATTTGCTGCTTTTGGGCCTCCAGCCACAGTTGGAGAATGAAAAAGTAAAAAAATAATTAAAAAAAAAGGCTTATGTAACATAGATGTTAATGTCAATAATTTCCTTAGAAGATTGAGTTTCCACGGTTAAATGAAAACCACAGATGCATCAAAGCCAGCATCCTGATGAGCTTCGCAGCTGCACTGCTCCAGGTGGGTTCTCTGGGGATGGGCTCTGAAAACCACATTTGAAGACCAAGATACAAAGCTTGCTGTTTCTGGAAGACTTGCTCCTTTCAGCAGCATCAGCCCAGAGAAGAACCAGCAGCCTCTACCTTGCCATCCTCATCAATTTTGAGAAGGAAACTGCTTTCGAGCATCTCCTGGGTCATGGACTTTGCAGAGGTCATTATTTAAGAGACAAAGGAGTTGGTTTGGTTTTGAACTACTCTGGTGGGAGAAGTGGGGGATGCTCTGAGCATGGGGAAGAGTAATATCTGAAGAAGACACACGGAAAGCCCCATCCTGGACAAGGCAACAGTCCCCCAGCACAGGGAGAGGTGCCTTGGAGGAGCTTCCAGCACAGAGGATTCTGATACTGAACGTGGTCACCACTGGATCCCCCTGGGCAGGGGTGAATGTCTCCAGCACCAGGATTTTGCACTGCGACTCTGGCCATGCACCCAGGGGAGGGCAAACAGCACCAAGCTCCTGCACAGCTTCTCCTGACACTCCAGCAGTGACCAAGTCCAGAACTGTTTAATTGCTTTTCTTTAGACGTGGTGAAATCATCAGCTGATAACTGCAAATAACCACAGGCCGTTCTGCTTCACTGTAACACAATAAACAAAAGGAAAGCTGGTGCGTTCTCTCATTCAGGCCATGTCGGAGTGGCAGCTGGTACAGTGAGGGGCTGCTGGTGGTACAGGGCAGGGGTGGGGGGGTTAGGGAGTTACCAAGGAATAAAACATCTGTAGAAGGGAAATTCAATCTTGTAGAGCCAAGAAAACACTTTCTGATTCCAATTATTACCTCAGCAATGTAGAAAGAACACGTGTTACAGTTCAGTTTTGCTGAGCAAACGCAATCACAGAATGGTTTTAGTTGAAAGGGACCTTTAAGATCACCCAGTTCCAATCCCTTGCTATAGGCAGGGACACCTCTCTCTAGACCAGGTTGCTCAAATCCCCATCCAGCTTGGCCCTGACCTTCCACTGCTTCCCTTAAGGCCTGTGGCAGGGGCAGCTTTGGTGAAACTCAGGGAATAGAAAGAAACACAGGCAAATCAATACAGGCGACATCCTGCCTTAGAAGAGGGGGATGTCAGAGATTTTCTCCTTAATGTTTCTAAAGTTAATACTGAGATAATTTGCTGTCAGATACTACTGATGCTTGGGTAACCTGATCTGCCACACCAGAGCACTTCCAGCCTGTACAGTAGAGTGGATTTGAGCCTGTCCATGGCACAGTTACAGCAGTCAGACTGCACATGGTCAGCACCTAACAAGCAATGGTTGGATAGCAGTGATTTTTTTTCCCCTCGTGAGCCAGCAGCACCCCAGGCTGAACCACTCGATTCCTCAACAAACAGCAGAAATAGGAACATTCTGTGCTTGCCATCCCCATGTCAGTCTCCCTGCTGATGCCTCTCCCAGTACAACTGGGGAAGGCACTGGGGACCACTGTCACCTCAGCAACACGAGGCAGAGAGTCCACAGAGACAAAGCCACAAGAGAACTTCCTAATTGCCCACTAATGTTCCCTGTCTGCCTACACAGGAGAAAGAGGAGAGCAAGGGAGGGATGGGGAACGTGGGCATTCTTCCCCTGTATTTCCAGCTCCCACACAACAGTTTCCTGCTTTTGTGGGCTGGAGTGCAAAAATGAATCAAGAAGTAGGGGGAAAAAAAAGGATCAAAACCAAAAATAAAGACCCATTCAAAACCAATGGAAAGCCCGACAAACGCTTTTTATAAGCTACTGCTTCCAGAGCAGCTCTAACCTGTGCTGCTTGCTGAACTAAGGACAGCCTGTAAATGAAGGTGGCCTGTGAAACATGGGGTGGAGCAGTGGGACAGACAGGCTGCACTGCCCCACCTGGGGCTGCACACTGCCATCACCTCCGGCCCAACGCTCATTCTGCACTTGCATTTGCTTTATGCTCACTGCAACTTCATCCACTACAGAACCCTCCCAGTTATGCAGTAATACACATGGTGCCACTTCCTGCCCTGCAGAAGCACCTTGCTGCAATACTGAAAGCTTGCCATATCCCTGGGGCAGAACTGGTACAAAACAGATGGGACCCAGGATATATTTAAAGACAAGTAGCTCCCCTCCTCCCTTTTTATCTAAAGAACACCACTACAGCTGTCAAAACTCTCAATTACATGATGCAGTAGTTCCCTTCCATAATCATTTTGATCTTCCAGACTATGGTAAGTCAACACCATCCCTCAAATGGCCAGCAGAATAGAGAAATAATGAAAAGCTCAGGGCTTCTCCCTCCTGGATACAAAGGTAGCTCAGTTCTCACAGAAGGGTTTAAAACCATCATCTGCACAGGCACAGTTAACAAAGCAGTCTCACTGACAGATGCTCCACTGCATCAGAAGAGGGAACCATCAGTCACCTTAACTCAGTTCTATTCCAAACCACACTTCAGTCCTCACTTCCAAGAGAAAGCACGTTTCCACGTGCCAATCAGAACAAGTGGTGACTTACCTTTGATCTGCCTAATGTTTGTGTGGCACTTGGATATCGTGAAGCTTCCCACCCCAGGAGATCCTACAAATAATGGAAGGCTCAGCTCTGAACACCCTTCTTTAATTAAAAAAAAAAAAAAAATTAACAACAACAACAAAAAAAAGCATTTGTAAAACTGATGGCATATTATCCAGAACTTGGTAGTGAGGAGTGATATTTTTAATAGCAGTATGATTTTTTTCTTTCCTGCCTAAGCACAGCATCTCTGGCCTGCATGGGGAGACAGCTCCTCAGTATTTCTGGAATGCTATTATTGCAGGAGTTGGCAATCCACTCATCTGCAATTCTGCTATACAAGATGCATTTAGAAATGACTTCACCTTTGTCACACTAGCAGTGAGAACTCCATTATAATGGTGTGATAACAGATTTTAGCAAGTGTTTGTCAGAGGGATGAACGCTGGTAACTCACATTTACCATGCAGCTGGGCAACACCAGATGTCACAAAACATTCCTAGGAAGGAAACTCACACTTAGATTTCAAGTGAGTGTAAAGATGTGGTAAGTAGGTAGCCATTGTTATTACACTGCTTCCACAGGAGCTTAAAAAGACACAAATATGCAGTGGTTGAATATGAACCATGTTGGACACAAGTCCTTGCAGAGATGTAAAGGCCCTGTTCTAGCTTGATGCCACCAAAATGCTGCACAGTCATCTACTGCTTGACAATTATCACCTATGTGTTCTGATCACAGTGAAAAAGATACTGAGGAGGAAATGCACACAGTGAATTTATAGCTGCGTTGTACAGCTATGATTAGCTGGCCTCCAGAGGCCCTTTGATTAGGGCATATATTGTTAGAACCAGCTAAAAGTGCCAATATATCATGACAAGCATTGCTGCTGTTATGTACCTCAGTGGTGCCACCTCAAGGAGGATATATTAAATTCTAATTTCTTTCTTCTGAGTGAAGGTAGAAGCTACCTGAGTAACTGATTTGATTCACAGCCAAGTCCTTGAGGTAAAGAGAGTTTGTACCTGAATCACAGAATCATAAAATCAGCCAAGGTTGGAAAAGACCTTCAAGATCATCCATTTCTACCATCCACCCATCACTAATATTTCCCCACTAACCCACACTGAAATGTTCCTTGAACACCAACAGGGATAGTGACTCCACCACCTCCCTGGGCAGTCCATTCCAGTGCCTGACCCTCCTTTCAGAGACATTTTTCCTAACATCCAACTTAATCTTCTCTGCTGCCAACCTGAGGCCACCCCCTCTGGTCCTACTCCTAGTTATGTGGGAGAAAAGGCCAACCCACCTCACCACAACCTCCTTTCTGGTCACTGTAGAGAACTGTAAGGCTTCCTCTGAGCTCCTCTTCTCCAGACTGAACAATCCCAGTTCCCTCAGCTGCTCCTCATAAGACTTGTGCTCCAGACTCAATAAATGCTGCTTTTTGAAAATGAAGTCATCAAGCAGTTAGTGGCTATGCCACGATCATTTTAATTCCACGGTTTTACCTCTAATGATCTTAGAATAGTCAGGATCACACAAAGAAAGACTGCTTCTGCTAGAGCATGAATCACCTTAAGAGACCAATATATTCTCGTTAAGTTATTGGACAGTGTGATTTCCTTTTTATTTTTTTTATTTTTGTTCTTAAGGTTTTGTTTGTTGCGCTGCTTGTAGCTGTTTTTTGTTTGTTTTAATACAATTAAAGATGTGCCATTTACACCCCACAAGAAAAAGCAGAAAGAGTCCTTATGGAAAAAAACAAATATATTGAACACATACCAATCAAATGGTACAGATACGGGACTGGCTTTGATTTCAAAATTTAAGTAGAAATAAAAAAGGATGTAATGCAACAGCTGTTCAATTTCCAAGTCTAAATAGGCACTGTAAAAAGACATTTCAGCTTTCTCCAGCACACATTCCTGTCTAACGCTCCCACTGTAATCAATTCCTAGGTTCCCAAACAACAACAACAACAAAAATATCACTGGGAACATAACTTCAGAATAAAAGTTAATATCCATCCACCCACCCTCTTACAAAAAAAAGCAAACAAAAAAAAAAAATCCCAAGAAGTACAACCTTTCAATGCTGCTGTTCTGACTGGAGCAGAATTGGAGAATTTATAAAGGTTCAGAAGCACCCAAGGCAAGTAGTACAATGTAATTTGTTCATTAACTTGTATTGGAAAGGAGATTAAAAACATTGAGATCTGCATCTTTGTACATAAAACTGTCGTCCTGAATAAGGAGGAATCTTTCAGAAAAGTTTTACAACTCGGTGGAAGTCCAGGACCCAGCTTTAGGCATAGTTAAATCAATGGGGTTTAATTCTGACTTAGTTTTAACCACTTTTATATACTGTACATCTACCCTAGTTGGATCAGTATCTCAAACTGCTCACTGGCGTCCCTTTGAACAACTGTAAACTAAACCATAGTATGCAACTCCATAGGAAGCTAGAAATTGGGTGAATATACAGCCAGTTATATCTCCCCTGCTTCACGCTCCTCTGAGCTCCTCGGGTCTTCTGATCGGCCATTAGCACTTTCGTAAGAGCGTTTCCTGTCTTTGAAATCCCGCGGCGATCTCTCTCTCGGGCTTCGATCTTTGTCACGCGATGTTCTATCACGGTCTCTGGAGCGCTCTTTGTCCCGGGAAGATCTCTCTTTGGAGGACCTGGAAGTGCAGTACAGTTGAGAATTCTAGTTAGTCACCACTTCATACATCCCAAACAGCACTTTGATCTTACAGTTTGCTCCTTATTCCAGCCCAACGTTAGATTTGCATGAACAGAAACGCATGAGATGACAGCGGAGTTCATTGCACTCTCCTCCTTTCCCTCCTTTCAATTTCAAAATACAAATATTGACAGAGACAAAATTTCATACACACTTACTACAGAGTTCAGAGGGTCAACATGCTTCATCTTTCATTTTCAACCCTCACTCTCTGTCTCGTATTAACACATTGTGCAATCATTTGTCACACTGCCTTTAGCTTGAGAAGGATTGTCTAGCATTTCTCACACATGCAGGCTACACATTTTAAGAAAAATTACTGTGTTTAAAAATGAGAATTTAATTGAAAGAGGAGAAATTAACTTGTACTGATTCTGGAATTCGTCTGCTATTGCATGACAAAGAAAAGAACACATCTGGAGCCTGTGCTCCAAGCTGCTGGGTGTTTGTTTCTAGAAGAATCATTCCTTGAGTGATTTTAGAACATCAGCATGGTGTTATCTACAGATATTTTTGCTGTAGTCGTAGGCATTTCCAAAACCTTTACAGAGAAGCCAGAAAAAGCTGTTCTGTTAAACATTCCACACAGCTTAGAATTAAATAAGCTGCCTGTATTGAAGACACTTGATTAGGTACAGGCCTCCCTTGCAGGGTGCACCTAAACCCATCACTGAAAAACATGTTTTCACTCCAAGATGCCTTGCAATTGTAAATAAATAAATCCAACTCACACTTTCTCAGAACAATCTCAGTCACACACTATAAAGCTAGTCACTAATTCCTTAGTCAATGTATCTAGTACACTGGACAGTAAGCTGTGCTCTCTCTACACCAAGCATGTAACTGTTGCTACCTCCAAGCTTCAAAACAGAAGTTTGCAGTTGCTTTTGCACTAAACTTTCTTTTATGAGTTTACTGAGAAATTACCTTTTGTTTCAGTTTTCAAGCTAAAATGATTACTTTCATGACAGTGCAGTGTTTTGCAAAACGTAGTATTTGCAAATGGTGAAGTTCAGACAGCAATCCCATACCACAAAGCACATGAGAAATAAGAAGCCAAACTATGTATCACATAAGAAGTTAATACTGTAGTTAATACTGCAGTTCCCAAGTATTTTGCACAAGTACACTGCAGAAGCACAAATGCTCCCACACCGATTGTCTCAGACTAACTAGTGATTAACCTAGAATAGTAAGTCACAGTATGAAAGCTCACAATTGCCTTAGCAAACAATATTATTACCAGAAGATTTAGAACTAAGGTACCATTCCTATCTTTTCCAAGGACAAGATATTGCCTTTAGAATTAGAACCTCTGTTAGATTGTATCGCCTCAATTGCTCAGGAACAACCACTTCCCAAGCAATCAAGTAGGTATTTCACAATAAACTCCCCCTACCTTCACAAGACACACAGGTAGCATCTACTGTCACGTTCACTAGCTATGAATTGTATGACAAATACATAATACTGGTTTGAGGGCAGCGTTTGTGAACACCTACATAAACTCCAAGGACAAAAAAAAAGTAAAAAGCCCTGGACAAAAATCCTAAGTAGCTTTGGCAGTCTGGTATCAGATCTAAGAAAGCAAGATAGCTGTGGTTTCAACACTTGTAAGGAGTGAGAAATTTGAATAAATGCACAGGTCTATGTTGCTTGCTTTATCCCCCATCCCCCCTTCCTTTTTCCTCTCATCCTCCTCTTTCCTCAAAAGACAGAAAATGAGAAAACTAAGCCTGCACCTCCCATCACCATGGAGAGTAAGCACAGGGCTATAATATTTTTTTGTCTGCCAGGATCTGAAGGATATTTTAAAAATATATTTTCCTAAATGCTAAAGGTGGGATTTCTCTCACCCAGCTTTAGATGCCTGCAGTACAGACATCTGAGCTAATCAGCCAGAATTCTTTACCAGCTAGCAAAGAAACGAGACTAATCATATCCTAACTGTCCACCTTTAGACAGAAATGTGTCAGGTGAGTCTGCAATGGGAATCACAAGATTTACATCTGCTCCAGCCACCTAAAACCAGGAGAAAAGGAATCCAATTGTATGATTTCAGATACTTCATTTGACCACACTGTGCCCACAGAGAACATTAGCCTTTGTCATATGAGCTCTTGCAGGCAAGCTCAAGCACACAGACACAGGCATCTCGGTTCACACACACCTGGGCCTGCTTCCTGATTGGTCTTATCATTGAGTATGAATAAGAACATCTAACATTAGCACTTCTTTGTAACGAAGCAGCAAAATGCTCAGTCTGCTTCTAGGGAGAGGAATGCTTATCCATTTTAGTTAGTGGGACCTTACAGCCAACAGTGAGGAAACACAGCACTGTATTTAGACCTGCTCTTGCTAAGTCTGTAATCTACACCTGGGGAGGTGCAGGGCTCCTGCTATCTCAGCCATGTTGCTGTGACTGTCAAACAGGTTTCCATCTTTTGATGCATTTTTACTGCACCAGATACTTCAGACACGTCCTGCCATGCAGAAGTCTGCTCCTTACAGTGATAAATCTGAAATGAGATTCTAGCTATTATGTGATTTAAATCTATCCACGTTTGTAGGGTGAATGATGATACAGATTAAAGAAAACATTTATCTCAAGAATTCCTGCATTTGTAGAATTTTCTCAAATAGCACACAAACATCCCATTGCTTTTAGAATGAAGAAGCATCTGAGAGGTGGCAGCTTATCATTTTTTGTGAGAGGCTCTTCAGAAAATGTTTTCAGAAGAAAAGCAGACATGAAAATCCAAAGGAAGTAAATTATGGTTGCAGCAAATGCTAATCCCAGCACACTTGTATGTGGTGTTATACCTATCAAAATGGGAGTGTGACTTCCAGAGGAAGCATGAAGAGTTTATCTAGTAAGCAGTTCAGCTGCCTAGCACACTTACGTGTTGAAGCCATACTAGATATGGTCATAGAATGGTTTGGGTTGGAAGGGACCTTTAAGATCATCTAGTTCCAACCCCCTGCCATAGGCAGGAACACCTCCCTCTAGACCAGGTTGCTCCAAGTCCCATCCAGCCTGGTCTTAAATGCCTCCAGGGAGAAGGCATCTGTAACCTCCCTGGGCAACCTGTTCCAGTGTCTCCCCACCCTCACAGTGAGGAATTTCTTCCTAATATTTAGTTCAAATCTACCATTTTCCAGTTTAAGCCATTTCCCCTTGTCCTGTTACTACATACTCTTGTAAAAAGCCCCTCCCCAGCATTCCCAAGAAGAAGAAAAAATCCAAAAGCATCCAAAGAACAAGACAAAAAATAGCTTTACCAACAGAACTCAGTAGTTTGCAAAAACTTCGACGATGCTACTGAGTATTTTTACTACACTCCAGCCAAAATCACACAGAAGGCTTTATGCTAGTGTAAAATGCCACTCCTCCCACAGAGAAATTACAACTCCACACTTCCCTCAATGGCTTTAAAGTCGATGGTATCACGTGCTGCCACCACTGCAGATTTCAGCAGTTCTCCAACGTTTCTGATGTCACTCTGCTCTTCTGGAAAAGGCTTCAAAAAGCATCACATTCCTCAGACCTGATTTCATGTGCATATGCCATCCAAAAACAAAAGGCTAGGACTCCTTCCTGAAATTGGTAACGTGCTGCAGTGTATCTTCTCCAGAGTATTTTTTGCCAGAATCCCTTGGATGATTGGATGTTTTGAGATTAAAGGAAGGTAAATGTGAATAGAGATACTTTATATCTGGACTTTAAGAAATTCCTCACAAAATTACAAACAAGGTGATTTGACAAAGAGCAGTTCCCTCTGACTAGAAAAAGAGTTCTTAGAAAACATGAAGCTTGATGTGTTTGAGCCTTCAAGTTCAGGTTCATTTTGGATTCCAGAATCAATAGTTGCATTGTATTCAATAGGAAGAATTCTCCCACATTCATACAGGAAGTAGATCTAATTGCTTGAAGAGTATTTCTAAGAAGGAGGCATCTAGTCTGGTTGAAAGGTCAATAGATGTCCTGATTCCAGAGAAGCAAGTGTGCAGCTATATGGATTCATTAGTCTCTTGAAATCACAACTTGCATACTTCAAGGGCAAAAATGCTGTTTGGCATTAGAGAATTAAGAGATATGATGGCAAAACATTTTTCCCCTCAAGTTAGCTACAGTCCAAAACCTTTATTTGTGCCAAAGACTTTTCCAACACAGATCAGTCGTATTCATTTTGGGCAGAAACTGGCACCAAAAAGTATTTCCTGTACTGAGGTTCATAAAGTTGAAATCCTGTGCCATGAAATCTAGTCTTTTTCCTCACTCATATAAAACATAGCTTGAACAACTTAACCTTTGATAGTATCGTGCAAGACGACAATGACTTCATCTTCAAATTACTTTGTGTTCTTACAATTCATCTCTGGCAGCTGACAGGTTTGGTGTTACACAGAAAACACCAACAGTTGAACTTTTCCATGCTATTTTCTTGTTCTTACATATCCTCTGCCTGCAGGCAGAGAAATAACACATCATTTGCTTGTGCTCATCAAATTAAAAGTTTGAACAACTATGATGAGAATCTTAGAACAATCAATTTTCTCTGAAATTCAGTCTTGCAAGGCTAGACTTCAAGGCTGAAGTACCAAAGGCAATTTGAGTATATGCTTTATGCACTGGTTCATCTGAGTGAACAAACATGTTGATTCAAATGAAAATTTCTATTTCAAGACTGAAAAACTACAAGTTTGAAGTCTGGTAATCTGTCATTGTGAATGCCTTGAAAAGACATGCTCTAGAGGATAACTGATGACAAGCTAACATCAACGTAGAAACTGCTGATTATGAAATGCTGACTTCAGGACACCACAGAACACCCTGAAGAATTTTAAATACCAGACACTACTGACAGTATCAGCTAGAGTGCTGGACACTCAGGTATTATTCATCTGCCACAAAAAGAAGGAAATAGAAAACTTGACCCAACTCTGCTTTCCATGCTCTCAGCAGAGCAGTGTGACTAGAATCATCTAACCCAGGAAGAAAGTTCATCTTTAAGGCAAAGAGAACATGTGAACACATTCAACAACCGCTCAGTAGTTTTATCATCCTTGGTGATGAAACTAAAATCATTTGAACTCTAAAACCCACGTGTTTTGACACTTCAAATTGGACCTTTTCTCTTTTCGTATGCTGACAGTCTGTCACTGTTTTAAGACTCAGCATCCTACTCTCTATATTGCTCTCAAATCTCTGCCTCAGTCACTGACCTTTACAAGAATGGAATCCAGGTTACGAGCAGACTTCTCTACCAGAAGCCTCGCTTTGCAATTCCAACTCCTTTCTAAATTATGCTTTACCTCACTCATCTAAAATAAGCCAGGAACCCCCAGGAGCAGACAGCAACTGAGTCACACAAAGGCAGCAGCTGCAGACTGCTCTTTACAGTAATCCTTAAGAAAGGGATCAAAGCACTTTGCATGCAAAGTGCTATCTCCAGATCTCATGCAAGAAATTCATTTTCAGATATATCCAAACTTGTCTTTATTTGGGAGAGCACACAACAGATGCATTCCACCCCTGGGAGCAAGAATCCAAGAGGTAAGTTAAGAAGACTGCTCATATCCTGATGGAGATCAATCATTTCACTTGCTATGCTGCAGGAAACTATCAAGATCCTCAATTTAACAACAATATCCTGCATCACTCCTCCACAACAGAAGTAATACATAAGCCTACTATAGAAAAAGAGAAAAAACCACTACTACATGTTAAATCATGAATATGTGAAGAGCATAAGTGAAGTCTGTGACAGCCTCAAAACAAGTTTAAATTACTCAGTGCTGAAGGTAAACTTAATTCAGTGCAAAAAAAAAAAAATCTGATTATGCATGCAGGAAAAGCCGTTCAGATCAACACTGACCTCTTTTTGGAGCTGCGCTCTCGGCTCCTCTCCCTGGAGCTGTGCCTGCTTCTATGATGGCTGCGGCTCCGGCTGCGGCTGTTGGAGCGAGACCTGTGGCGATGGCGCTTCTCGCGGGATTTAGAGCGAGTTCTTCTTTTCCGTTCCCTGGAGGCTGAGCGAGAGCGATGTCTGCGACGATCTCGGGACCTAGATCTAGAAACAGAAAGCACTCGGGACGCTGCACTGTCAGTGTCCCTTGGGTATCTCACAATCCACGTGAAAAAACAGCCGTATAGAGAACGGTCTGCACTGTTCAGAGCTACTGCATCGTCTCACCACAGGCAAACAAGGAGGGGAGAGCAACACCAGAAGTGCTGTATGACTCCAAACAGTCTCACAGTGTTTGTAACTACGCATGTACTTACAGCATAGTCAATTGAGACAACAGAAAGGAAAAAAAGATGTTTAAAATCTTGTGTTTACCAGGCCAAGTTTTAGAAGTCTGTGATGAAGGGATGGGGATTATCTGGCCAGAAGCTGGCTATTACAGTGCTTTGAGAACAACAACACTTCATTGGTGACTTTCAACTTCAGGTTAAGAAGAGAACTACCACTCCAGGTGTGAGTTAAAAGGTACTGAACACAAGCATCTGTTTCGAAGGAAGTAATATTCTGTGTTCCAAGTGTTACCAGGGATACAACAGTTTGTAGCATTGTAATAGCCACAAAACAGATATATTTTGGATATAAGTATCGGATGGATACTAATTATGGATATAAGGATATATCCATATATATATATATAAGGATATAAGCGGATAAGTAACTAAGGAGCACAATGGCAAACACTGTATAAGCACACAGAGATGGCTGTGCAATAGGATGTTCTGTCTGTAAAGAAAGAAGTCTTAATAAGGCTAGACAAAAAGTAGAAAATTTCAGCTTGTGAAAGGCTTGCATTACTGATGGCATTCTTTGCCTGCAGACTTAAGTACCTTTTGGTATGCTTGCTGTGGGATCTGGACCTGAAACAAATGGAAAACGGTAAATTAATTTTACTTTCATAATCCTAATATAAAAAATAAAGTACAGATTAGTAATCTAAAGTCAAACTATCAGCTATTGTGGTCTTCGTTTTACTTGCATGTTAACCTCACACAAAACATTTCAAGTACAGCTTCATAACATTTATTAGGAAATACATAACCCCTCAACAACTGTCTTGGATTTTTCTGTTGTAGGTGGTGGTTGTGGCTGTTTTTTTTTTTGTTTGTTTGTTTGTTTGTTTTTTTGAGGGAGTGCGGACACGGATACTACTCCACTTTTTAATTCATCCCTGTCCCCCACTTCAATAACAAAAGATTACAGTTAAATAGCATGACAAGAAATAAGGGAATACTGACATTATTAAACATTTCCACTATTGGCCTTGGGAGCCAGTATGTCAAGAGAACTGCAGTTGAGATGCCATTCAATCCTATCCCCACAAAGCATGAAAGTAATCATTTCATAGAAAAATAGGGAATTCTTTTCCTTAATCACACATTCAAATACTTCCAGTAAGAAAAAAATTAACAACATCTATGCATCATACATCAGATGTCAATATACCTCATTTCATGTGCATTTGTTCAAATATGTAGGAAAAACTACTAGTATTTGCATTTCTTTTTTTAAAGAAAAAGTCTTCTATGAAAATAATTCAGGTTTTAAGAATCAAGTATATTCAGTTCCAATTCCTCTAAGTGTTGAAGGGAAATTAACACAATTCTGCATAATAAAACAAATGTTCATGAACATCATCATAGTTTTTCCATTTAACTTAAATAGGTCGTTACGCATATGCAGGTGAAATAGATCCTTACCTCCTTAGTTTCTCCCTTTCTTCCCTTTCCCTCTCCTCTCTGCGTTTCAGGCGCTCCTGATTTCGTTTCTCTTGTTTATCAGCCACAATCCTCTAGAAGCAACAGAATACACTGATTAAGTTACATTTCAATATTTTTCAAATGAAGGTAAAAAACTACAGAAGCAATCTATACAGTTAATATTCAGTTCCTTCCCTCATGAATATTCACTTTTGAGTATTAGTCCCTCTCTCTTCCTCAGTATATTTTATCTTTTTCAGGAAACACAGGTTATCGCAGAAGAGCTGCTATAAACAGATGGGTGTTACACCAAGACCTGAAAGACGTAAACTTAAACGTAAGTTTTTCATGAAGGGAATTCAGAACAGAAAGTCATGCCTTAATGTGAGAGCTTTCATGCCAATCCTACCCTATTTTGGCCACTGGGGAAAGGCAAAAGGTAATCGGAACAGGAGGAGTTAAGAATGTTATTAACTCCATCAGCTATGCTGTGAAATAAAGAAACTCTTGGTCTTAAAAGGATTTGGTTGGGCTGATATCTAGTTTTGAGGCTAGCTGTTTGAGTTGTGAACATTATACATGTAATTAGAAAGGATGTTTCAGCTAATAGCCCCCAGGTTGAACTCACTACTACTGGGGACAAGGCACGCTCAGTAGAGGGCCCTCAGATGTGGAACTCACAACTGGAGATCTGGCCAAACCCAAGTCTCGCCACCTTCTGGACATGATGCAAGAAATTCAACTCTTTGTAAAGACCTTCTTCTGAGATGTGGAATTGCCCCAGCAGCATCTTGATTAGATCTCTGAGGAGAGCTCTGAGGAAGGAGGGGATAATTATTGTTTTCTTTTTTTGTTAGTGAAGTATTTCAAAAGATTATTTTATTGATGCTTTGGGAATGTGAAATAATTATCCATGCATATTTTTCTCCAAATGTGGTAATAATCAGTTAACGAGCCCCTTTATGTCAAATCATTTTTATATTGCCTTGCAAAATATCAGCAATTTAACTACAAGCAAGGTTTCATGTTCAAGTGAATCTTTGCACATTTCACAGAGAGATGAAAGGAAACACATGATCTCCTCTAGGTAGCTAAGGTCTGAATTACAGCAATTTATTTTGGAGCCTACATTGCCAATATAGTCAAGGGAAAGAGTTGGGCTTTCCAAAGGTTAAGTTACAGTATCCATGCAAGACAGCTGGAATATTCAAAACAACCCAAGCTACGTTACTCAAATTCAGCAGTAACGTCTCTGCTTTTAGGGTTTTGATTCATTTAGCAGTCATCTTCAGTAATTTCTACAGTAGCATGCTTAAATGAGCCCTAAACTCCATAATTAACATATTAAGATCATAAATAGTATAAGCATCCAAGTCCATACTCTTGAATACCAAAAGTCTAGAATATAATTCCAGTAAGTCCTTCTTCAAATATACAATTTCAATGGTCCAAGGTAGATTTGTTTAGCAAAATATTCCAACTGGATTTCAAAACTGAAAGCTATGGAGAACATGCAGCCTCCCCATAACAATTACTTTAAGTTAGTCCCACTTCAAGACATACACCTTCTTCTACTTTGATTCAGATATCTACAGTCTTAAGTTGTCTCAACTCACTTCAACTATTGTCCAGTCAAGCTTAAAAGCTTCCAAATCACTTAAAAAAAAAAAAATCTCATCTATATGACTGGATAAAATAAAATGAGTTTGCGGTCTTTCATCACACTGTCGGTGCTTCAAACACTTTGGCAGATCTTTACAAAATTATTGCTATGAATTAATTTCCTCTTTAGGTCCATCTTTTTCACTGGTACCAACGCTAAGCAAAGCTATCAACAACAGCTCTATTTTATTCCTAATGGAATGAAACACCACCGCCTTAAATTTGCTACATGTTCTTGTACTTTTAAGAGCCTCATTATTACACATTGATCTAATTAACTGGCTAAATGAGAAGTTCATTTGCCTATCTTCTATGACTACTAAACATGCTTCAGAATACAGTTCTCAAGTTCACAAGTGGAACTGCATTCTCCATTCCCAGGATGCATTCTTCAAGCACATTTTAATCTACCTAGTGCGAAAGAGGCCATCTTCACAAATTATGTAGATAACTGCTATTTAATAGGCACGTTTGGTGTTTAACAACTGCGCTCGGTGTTTACAGACCAGTGAAATATCTTAAGGTAACATGAAAGAATTCACACACCCAGAGATTCCATTAAGATTGTCTGACAAGTAACTAAGAGCACAAGCAAAACAGAGAAATGATTTACCCTGAGTTCCTCAAGCTTCTCTCTTATTTCAATAAATCCTAAGTGTAGTTTTCCTCCAAAGTGGTCAGCAAGACGTCGGTCATTGTCATGAAGACCAAGATAAGCTGAACACACTTCACAAACCCGTAGCTTCTGCTGTTGAAAGCTAGAGGCAGGCATAGAATTCCTGTACACTTCCTAGAAAAAAAAAAAGTTACCTTTTTCTTTTCAATTCATAGAAACGTAATTTTTCAAACAAGTATATTACTTTTGATAGCATAACTCAAAGCTAATCAGCAGACGCTGATTCACGGTGTGAATTAACTGTCTTACTAAGACACACTGCAGGTTCCTCACTTTGAAGACAGGTATATTACAATGGGGATATCAGCAACTGGATTTGCAAGTTAAACAAAGTAGAGTGATTACTGTCTTTATTTCAGATCATACTACATATAAAGAGAAGTTATCATCCTAGACAGCACAATGAATATATCTTAACACTATAGTTACTAGATTTTACCATACTATGAAGCATTACGTATACTTATCCTGAACCCAATTTAAAAACAAATCTACGCACATTTTAGACACAAATTAAACATTATGTTATCCTTGCAACATTTACCTACAAACACTGAGATCACAGACTGGTGAAACTACCAGCAACCCCTCTGGTACCATTAAACAACCATAGATGTTTCTTTCTCCAAATGTAAGTACCTTGGTGAGACATGATATGGAACAGCTCCCAGTGATGTTTGCATCTTAACATTACAACAATGACTGCTTAGAATTGCCTGATACAGAAGCCATTAGCCATCTTTCAATGCAGACAAGCTTAGAAGGGTCTGAAAGGTCTCCCATGCAAGTCACACCCCAGCACATCACAATCAACAGTGGGGTTACCACAGAGCTGTGAGATCCAACAAGATGATTAAGTCCCCACAAACACAGACACAAGAGATGTAGCAGCCAGCACAGCTAAATGCATCACCAAAGGAAATAAGTGCAACTCTAATAGCACAGGAGTGTATTTTAATGTTTAGTGCATTTAACTTCTCCTACACACAAAGCAAATCCCTTGGTTTCATATAAAGCTAAGGAAGCAACTGTAGCTAAGACATCTTGCACTACAGTTACTAATTTAATTTTGTCCTCTCCATCCCACAAGCCTTAAATAATCAACTTACTTCAGCTTCTCTCTTCTTTACCCGGGCCTTCTCCACTTCATCCATTACTTTTTGAGATTCTTCCACATTTCCATCAGCTCCTAGCTGTTCTACTTTGGCCAGTAGCTTCCCAATTTCTTCATTCAATTCATGAACTCGTTCAGCCTTGAAAGAGGAAGAAAGGCTCAACAAAGGAAACAGTCTTAGTTATGGAAAAATAACGTGAGCCAATACTGAGCTATTCTTATATGCAAAATTCACAGGATAAAATTAAAAGGAAGCATGCAGAGGAGTTCTCCAAATAACAGGGAAACAACTGTCTCACATCAACACACAGAAAGAGGCTTAGAAACCAAAGCAGCTCTGGAACAGGATCTTGTTCAGAAATTTCAAGTAATTCACACTGTTGCCAATGCAACTTGCAAAATTACTATTTATACAACCATCCCTCCTGGCACATATATTTGCAGAAAAATGACAGAACTTTTTTTCAGTTAGAAGAAGACCACATGAAGTGTTTTGTTTATAGATTCATCAGCATGAATTCTCAGTTCAAGTAGTCTGGTTTCTTTTAAAACAACAGACCTCCAAAATAACTTCAGCAATTACACGCTTTTACATGCTTACTTTAGCTGCAACTTCAGCACTGATCTCTTCTTGGGTTTCTGCTAATCTCTTCTTAGCAACTTCTGTTCTCCTGTCACAGTCCGCAATAAATGACTGCAGGTGGTCCATTGCCTAAAACACCAACAGAATACTAATTAACACTGTAAAGAACACTAGTACTTCATTACCTTCAACAAATTCCTGGCTTAAGGTTAACTTTTAAAAGGCTTTCTTGGGGAAACTTATAAAACAATAACATAACAGCTTAAGGTGTATAATCACACTAACATTTCAAAAAGCTGTCTACACATTGTCAAAATGTACAAGTACTCGCAGGAACGTGGAAGGGATTCTGTCTCAACTCTTATTCGCTAAGAAGCAGCCAGCATTTATAACATGCATTAAAATTTCTGAAAGGATAGATATATTCACTTCACCTTACTAATGCATGCAATACTAACACATTGTTCCACCAGGGTTTTAAGCTGTGAGGTATATTAACATCATCCACCCCCAGCAACAACAAATCCAAACCTTTTATCTGTGCTCAAGACCAACTTCCTAGCTGGGAGTTCATAACTGCATTACTCAGACAATGTACTGAGACACAGCATATCATTTGATACTCCCAGTACAAAATGATTTTTTCCTCCCCCAACAAGAATATAAGCCTTTCTTCAAATTATACACTGCATAGCATTGGCTCAATGATTGTTACTGCTAAGACAGCATGCAGGTTCATACTTATCTGTTTTTGTAAGGTTATCAACAATCCTACCTTGAGATGACTAGAAATTCAAGTGCTTGCACATGATCATGATGAGCCATGTAAACAAACATTTAAAAAATTATTTTCCAAAAGTTTTCCTTCCTTGTGCACCAAATCTGACTGTTTGCTGCTCAGTTTATCTCCCCCAGCGCGTGCAAGTTACACTTTCTCTCCACCATTGTGACAAAATACATACATCAAGTTCAAAGAAGAAATCTTGATCTTTGGATGCTATTTCATAGTCTGCCCTTAATGCCAGGTCATGCACCTTCAGACATTCTCCAAGGTCCATTCTCTGAAAAGAGACACAGGGAAAGTAGTATAACAAGCAGTATATGCAAGAACAAAGTTATAATATTTGACTGTTAAAGGAAATCATGCTGAAGCAAATCATCTCCCTTATGGAGATATTTTAACTTAATAAATCTTTAAAGACAAACCCAGATTTCTATTAAAGATGCATTAATGATGACAAAAAATATAAAGACAGAGTATACAGCTTATTCTGTGATGGCTGTTCATGTGACAGACTAATGTTACTGATCTGCATAAGTTATTTTTACTGAAAGTGCAAGAAAAGTCACTGAAGTAGAACATTCTGTCTTGAACTAAAACAAGAGAACCAAGATTCCTACAAATAATTAGCAATTAAATGGTCAAGTGCTTGATCTGATCTTTCCACACAGTTCACAATATAGATGTTCTGGCTATGATCATTATCTGGAATAACTGCAACCACAACATCACTGTTAAGTGCTACTTAAAAATATTCTCAGATCACATGTAGCAAAAAAAAAAAAAAAAACCTCTTCAAAACATTTTGCTGATGAGTAGAGACAAGCTGAGTGCCACACTGTCCTTATGAATCGGAGAAGAAAAAGTATAGATATTTTATTCATAATCTAAAACTGGCCTACAATAGGACAGGAAGGAAGCATGAACTAAAGCAAATTCATTTATTGTATCACTAATCTTTAGCCTAATGTAGGATATTACCAAGAAGAGCACTCAATTTTATTTGGTATAACAAATACGGGCTTAAAATTGAAATTTGCACACTGTACAGCAAAAAGAATTTTGATTAAATCTGTTTCCTTCTTACTCCATCGTGTAGCCTGGAAACTATTTTGAACCATCACTACCACTGAAAAACAATTCTGCCCTCCCTTCACCACCACCCTGTGCCTCCCCCCTACCAGCACATTAGAGTATCAACTGAGAAAAAACACCTCAGCAAGCAAAAAACTGAGGTAATTTTTCAGTAGAGTACCTTTGTCCAACACGCCAGGCAGCCACACAAACAGAGGTGTTGCCAAAACACGGGGGGAAGCATAATAGGGGACCTGAGTAGCTAGGATCTCTTACAGTACCAAGATGTCATTTCACAAACTCCTGAGTAGCATCAATAAAAGTAGCTGCAATCTTCAGGGGGCTGTGGGAGGGAGGTGATGTAGCATTTTCTTTTGTTAGCATCACAATGAGAAGAAGCTGTGTTGAAATGCTTCCTTCTCTTCAATCCAGCTTTGAGCACAGCCTTCTAAATGCTCATGGGGCTTGACAGACAGAGCCTTCTAAATGCTCAGGGGGCATAACAGAGAGGAACAACAAGCATATACAAGTGAAACTGGATTTCTTTTTGTTGGCTTTGCTGCTGAAGAAATTCTATCATTGTTAGAACAGCTCTGTAGTGCAGCCTGTAGTAGCTCTGGCTACTGCTTTGAAAATACTTAAACAGAACTATTACTACTGAATGTTTATCTTAAAAACTGTTAGTAAAACCAAGCTCAGAAACATAGACGAAAGTTTAAAAGTTTAGCCAATTTACATGTTACACATAAGGTCAGGTTAAAATATACACTTCTGGTATACGTTAGGCAAAGTTGGTTCATATCAGGGATGATTCATTACTGTCAAAAGTCTACACTGGATTGGAACTGCTGAGGATCTTGCTAACCACAGAGAAGCTCACACAGTTTGGCTCATAAGACCATCTGCAAAATAGATGAACAGGAGGTGAAGAAGGCCAGAAGATACAGCAAGATATTATTTTCACGTTCCACACGTCCATGTTGCAATCTGATGCCAAGTTGTGCCTTACCCCAAAGGCAAAGAACAGTCATTCAAGACCAAAATCAAGGCAGAGACAGCCAACCATTCAAGATCAATCATATTTGAAACAGAAGGTGGCTGTAAGGGATGTTCAGGTTTCAAACTACTGCTGAAGGCTTAAATAGCATGCACATAAAATCATCACATCAGCAATGAAGTTTTAGACAGGCTTATGCTACTTGAAGTGATTTACAGAGGAATCTTGACGAGCAAAGCAATGAAAGGAAGGGAAAAATTACGTCCTCAGGCAAGATATAACTTGTTTATTGAATATGAGAAGCCATACATACCATCAGGACTTTTTGCAGCTATTGCATTTTTACTGAACATTAACTTCAGAAAAATTCCTATCCTGAGAATCTTTATCACAAAGGAAGGTTACTGCTGAAGATTTAGTCCAGAAAACAGTTTAGCAACCACATGCAGATCTTCTCCTGCTGCAGAGCTCTATTTAAGAAAAAAGTGATTTGCTACAACTTGCTAACCTTTGTCATAACACTTTTTTCTTCTTTCGTTCACTGTAAACAGGCAATTAAAGATGCTTGATTTCCCAGAGCTGAGGTGTAGATAACTCACTTTTAATCCCCATAAACCTCATACTGAAATGAGTCAGTAATTATTTTTGTCATCCCATCCATGAAAATGGATAGAACTGTATTAACACAAAAACATTCGCTTCCTGTTGATGCTTGGTACCGTGTCAATCAAATCAGGTACAGAAAGATCACTGCCCTGCTTCAGTATATACAGGCAAGGAAGAAGTGTCCAGAATATCAGCAACACAGAAGCTGAAGAGCTTTTATGAAAAATAAGTGTGCACTCAAAGAAGCTGACATCAGTAGCTGAACAGACTAAAGCATCAGACGTGGTGCTGTTCTTGAAACCATGAACCTAAGGTTTTGTTTTCAGGTCTTGAGCAATCTACAAGAAGCTTCTCATCTTCATGCTTTTACAAGTACTATATATTCTTCTGACATCAAAGTTTAGATTACTGGATGCACACAGTAAGGTCTGCAGTAAAAGCATATAGAAGCCAAACCGACCTAAAACACAAAGGACTGATGTTGAGAGGTGTGACAGAGTATCGCACACAATCAAAGTTCCTAAAACCAGCACACATCTTGGATGTGTTCTGAGAGGTGATACTCTGAACAGCATTTCTGTGGAGAATTCTTTCTAGTTAAAAAGGCAGCCCCACCAAAACAGCTCGTGTTCAGCAAGAGAATTTGTTTGTGAAATTCTGATCTGAGAGGAAACGTTGTGTTCTGGAGGTACTACACCTCTCCCTTTACCAAGAGTGTCAAGAAGAATGTTGCCCTCTTTAATTTTACCTACTTCTGAAGGCTTCAGTATCTTAGAATAGATTTTCCCTGAAAGATAAAGCTGGCAACAACGCCTCACTTTTAAGTGAGATATCTGTTTCTTTAATGTTAATTTATAATCAGGCTATTAAGTGCTAAAGTCAGACAACCATACTGAAGAGCAATGATAAAAAATGAACAACCCAACCCTTCTACATAAATTACGCTCATTAAAATGGAACGTGGTAAAATAAGTTGTTCTTTAAGCACTGGTCAAACTAATTAAGAATACGTCTAAAGAGACTGATGTGATCACTTACTGTCTCAACAGTGCATACAGAAATTCATCGTCTCTAGGTTGAAGACTAGGAATCGAGGTGGCTTATGCAAGCCTAATTTCATCTGCAAAGGTTAAAGCAGTTCACGTGATCAAATCAAACCTAAACCGATCTGCTGATAACCTCTAGCAGAACATGAAATAATCACATCAGCAACACTGAGTTTTAAGCATGGAATACTTCCACCAAGCCTATGGAACTACTGACAAAGATACCAGCTCCAGATGAAAACACCTAAATGCAGGTACTTAAACACACCTATTTGCAGATGTGAGGACTAACCCAACTGCTCTTCCACAGTAAAACAATCTGAGCATACAGTGCAATGAGACCAGATGCATTGAGCCCACCTTCAGAGGGGCACCCAGTGGCATGTGAAATAGATCTTGGACACTGAGCTCCTCAGATGGAACCTAAATTTAGGTGTCTTTATCTGGAACAGAACTCCACCCTAATGAGCTTAAAGATAAGACGTCTCAAAGCATGTTGCTAAACCAAGGTCCCAGCCAGCACGACTCCTGAAGGGCTGGGTGCAAGGAACTCATGAGCCTAACCATGCACTTAACTGTAGGACTGCACCAACAGCATATTTTGAGGACTTGAAAAACAAAACACAAAAAGCAACCTACCTCAACAAATGCACAAAAGTAGATAAAGTTCACCCAGTAGAAAGAAATTTCTCAACCACAATTTGCAAGGTCACATAAAATACTTGTGACATTTACCTCTCAACAGGAAAGGACAATCAATGTAATAAAACAAGCAAACAAAGGTCACTGCAGAAGCACTGACCTGCTGGGGCTGTCAAAGGCAAGCTGCCAGTTACTACTTTAAGTGTTCAGGACTTGATTACTTTTAACCTTACTGAAGGTATTTGCTTTAAATGTCACTACATTATCACTTCAACCACTACAACTCAGACACAGACTCACGAAAATAGAAAAAACACATTCTTGCCAGTCTTGTAAAACCTGCAGAAGACAGCATAACATTTACATCCACAGACTGCTACTTGAGAGGGCCGCGCCGTTAAAAAGGAGTCACCTGACTTCTACATATGCAGTTTCAGTCCCAATGTCATAATACACACACATATCTATGTGTACACAGATATGGAAAAACATTTTTGTAACACTGATGAAAAGGAACTCAAAAACCATGGTTTGAAAAACAAACAAAAATATCAACCATCACAAGACTATCAGCATTTACTGAGGCTAAAAAGGTAAAGCAAGCGTTAAGTCTTTATCACTTAACAATTTTTATTTCTTTTTTTGTCTTAGTGACTTTCTGTGCCCTAAAAGACAGGGCTCACAGACTTCATAATCTCATTATAAAATTCTCATCTTGGAATGAATGAGCAAACACTTAAACTACTGACTTATATGTAAGAACCAGTGCCAGTGTGATCCACTTCAAAAAGCAGAACAGCAAAGCATGAACAAGTGTCAATTAAAAACAGAAAAGCATTTGTGAGAGGCACTGTTAAAAGCAGGTTCTGAACAGACATCGTTTTATAATCTTGAATACGAAGTCATTTCTGCCATCTTACTGACTAGTTCAGGATCTGCCTGCTGCAAACTTAACAAGGCACTTCACATACAAGACAATCATAGGGCACAATACATTCAGAATTATAACATCCTCCATCAATTTATTACCTTTGCTTACATTTCTGCTGTTAGGACTCAACAGTCTTCCAATAACTTCAACACAGGCCATTATTTCCATGAAAGAGAAGGGTAACTGAAGCAGAAGGAACTATTCTGGTGGCAAAGCACCCAGAAGAAAATTTAACGTTGAAACAGAGTTAGTTTTTATGACTTATAGCCCTCAATCAAATATTTAGGTTTCCAGGAAGGACTATTTTACCATGACAAGCTACTCCAAGGAAGTAAGACAGAGGAGTACAAAAGGAAGCTCTAAGGAGTCCGAATCTGTGCATTGTTGCCCATCTAGACATTGGAAACCTCCTAATAAAACTCAAAATTCAAAACCTTTAATCATTTGTGAGTTTGTTTGTTGTTGTCTTGTGGTCTTTTTCCCCCCAGTAAACACTTCTAATGATAACCAAAAAATAAATCTGATCAAAGTCATCTGACGAAAATAACAACTCTAAACGTTCTTGAGAAGCCCAGAAGAACTCATACAATATTCTTAAAAAGAAAGAAGCAGACACTGCATCCAAAGACAGAAGAGATGAGATTCACAGAGATCTGGACAAAACAAACTTTCCAATCTTCTACTAAAGGCACATGCGCACTACTGTTGCTGACACACAGTGCAGCCTGGGGAACGCGATTTTATCTTCAAGGGAAATCAGCACGTGTTCCTTAGTGGAGTTTTGGGTATTCTGCCATTAAAGAACAAACTGAATTAACATATTCTACTGATAGCAGTAGCTTTATTTGTTTCATACATCTGTGCGCCTTCCTCAAGTGCTTCTGAAGAAGTGGGTGGAACAGAGTAGCACAGCAGTCTGCATTTTGCAGAGGGGAGCAGTAGTGTGCCTTTCAGAAGAAGGCAGATACAGCAAAAAAAATTGGCAATTCACAGCTAGTATTTTATTGACAATGCAGTCAATGAAGAGATTTAACCATATAAACCAATCAACAGAACTTATTTTTTTGCATAAGCATAACATTCTAACGTTGAATTCAAAGTCACACAATCCTCGTCACATATCAATCTTGATCATTAAGATACACTACAATTTTCCTCTCAAAACTCAGGAAATAAATCCATCTTCATTTCCCAAATCATCAATAACCTGTCAGACACACTAATTGCTCTCTGCTCTTCTAATAGCTGTGCTGCTAAGGTAGGAAGCGTGCTTCTTAAGAACACTGAACAGCAGAACACTGGATGGGTATTACTATAATGCCTGCTTCTGATGCGCCCCCTGCTTCTACTCCCACTGACAGCATTAGGCCAGTCACTGATCTGCTGGACCTAGAATGACATCATGGATCACATTTTGTCACCTGATGCCTACTTGAATTTTGAGGAAGAAAGCAAGTGACATATACTCACTGAATAAATACTCCAAGAGCAGCAGCAGAACAACTCAGAATGAGACAGAAGAGAGCTTTAAGCAAGAACCAACACACTCATAGACAGGCACAGCCTACATGCCTGATCTGCACTGTAAGAGGTATTATTGGATGCTACCTAGAACCTTTAGAACTATAAACAACTCTTACTTGCTAACAACAGCCATTCTAAAAGTATTTGCTTATGGAAATTATACCACAGTGGAAAGCTGTCAAACTAACATTCTAAAAGGACTCTGTGAATTCTGAACAATGACTTCAGACATTTCTGTAGCATGCATTTATGTCCCCAGCCATGAGGTCTTTTGTTCACCACGCAACTAAAGCGCCAGACAACATAACAGATGGGGGACATCTTCCTCTTCCCCTCCACTTCAGAGTGACACATAAAATAGCTGAAAAATAGACCTACACATGCACATATACATGCCCAATAATGATACATAAAGCATTGTTATCAAATTGTTATCACTTACACTGCCTTAGCTTCAGCATGCATTATGTTCAATTTGACACCTAACACATCACACGAGGCCAAGGCAAAGGAGGCACAAGCCTTCAGGAGGGGCTGAACAAGGGGAGCTTTTCTATTCCACTGCCTTTTATATTAAGACAAATCTTAAATTCTCTAGTTCAGTTCTCTACTCGTTTTGCCTCCTGCTGATGTGTTTCATAATAATTAAAGTTGCATCCACTTTTCTAGGGACTTCTCAATGAAAGGAAAGAAACTGTAATTATTGGTCTATCAGTACAAGAAATGACAAAGTAAGTAAAGCAAACAAATTTAGTATAGGCGTGAGTCTTCAAAGCCCTCTGATTTACCAGAAATATCATGGTTATTTAAGATGACAGCTATTCATATTGAAGGATGAGACACAGGTAAACCAGTTACCAAGTCTGCATATTCCAGTTTTTCATCTTGGAAATGGACTTTATTCTGTATTTTACTGAAGACTCCAATCAAGTCAGTCATTTCAAAAAGTAAGGTACAGAGAACTAAAAATGCTTATTATTAATACTTCTAATAGCCCTTAAGACATATTTTCCAGTGCTTATTTTCTCCTCTGCCAACACAAATAAGAAAACCTACTGAAGTGCTGTATTAAGAATAGTAGGCAAGTGAGACCCAGCACATCAACACACTCACCTATCAGCTGTTTTGAGGTATCTGCCCACATGTACATCCTTTTTCCATAATCAGCATAACTTCCCTGCCTTTCACAAAGGCACCCCAGACTGAAGCACCACTGCTCTAGAAAAGTTACTGGCACATGTCAGAGTGCTTTGTTCCTACATAGGAACCTCTGATACAGAATCAAAAATCCAAGCCAAGTTATTAATATACTACAACTGGAGATTTTTAAATTGCCTTAAATCTGTAAAAATAGGACAGTAACTGGATGTCATGCACTTTGTCACTTATGCACAACATATTTCAGCTTCTAGAAATGCAATTATTGGTACTTTCAACTGCTTTCACAAAAATGCAACTGAATTTATAATAATAATAAAAAAATAATACAAACTTCTCTTCCCCATTCAGATGCCAACAGGAAGTTTTAAGGAAGTAACTTCATGCGTTTGTACAGAATTGTATAGGAGTATTTCTGCTAGTTACAACACTACCGGTGTATAAACACTTTGTTACAGCATAATTTAAATAGGTAGCCTGATCTGTTTTAGGTTTTGTATGCCACAGCAAACAAATATGAATTTCTGAGTAATAACTAACATACAGTGCCAGAAATGGAGAGAAAAAGCCTCTGTAATACAAAATTCCATTTTTGTATACAAGTTGGCACGAATCCAACCTGTGGTTGAAAAGCACAAAGTCAACAGATATTAAAAAAGACCAAAGAATTCAATGTTGCCATTCTGAACTAAACGAAGCAAGGCACTCGGTTACGTACAGTTCCAGAGAGGACATCATGAGGGCAGCAGTTGAGGAGGTGACTCTTGCACACTCTGTCATCACTGAACTTGATTCGCTGGCGGGTCGTGTCACCTGCAACATAGAAACCAACACAACCCGGGTTAGAAATCTGGGGAAGCCAGACACACAGTGCAAGTTACATGCAAAGCATTAACACTGTCCTGTCATGTAGTGAAGGCCTACGGAGACTAGAACTTAAAACACTCTATGCTTCTTTGCCAAATAAAGCCAAAACCACAAATACATATTTTAATGCTCTACAGTGCTATTCAAGAATACTCTCATACTTCCCCTACAAAAATGTAGTGTGGAAAGTGCTTGAACCCAGAAGGGCAGTATTAGCTTTAAAATACTTTGCTACAACAGCATTTGTTAAACAAGCTCTATTCAGGTTTTGTACAAAATAGCAATGTATTTCTTTGCAACAATTAGCAAATAAAAGCAGCTTCATAAACAAAGTGATACATAGTGAGTCTTCACTGAATCCCACCTGAAACTCATTTTATTGTTTCGCTTTTTGAAGCAAAGCACCCTCTTACTTCTGATAGGAGTAGCAAAAAGAGTTGGCAGAGGAATGAATTTAAATGCTTAAAAACCTTGAAAAAAAAAAAGTCAGTCAAACATATGGACAGCCTATATGCAAAATGATTTTACAGATGTTTGCATATAACTGCATGATAAGCCATAATACATCGTTTTTCCTACATGCTGTTTGTTGGGATGGGAACATCTTAATTGCATCTTCATCATGGCAGGTTGCAGTTCCAGCATCAGCAGAGGCATCAACCTGTGCACACTGACATCCAATTGCAAGTTTAAAGAACCCCACCTGGCAGCAAGACCTGAAGTCTCCAAATCAAAGTCACCAGCTGGTATTTGGGGGGAAGGAAGGGGGGTTGGGAAATATGCTTTCCTTCAAGTCATAACGTCATTGTCACTGAGATTCAGAAGAGAGGTTGCTGCTACAGCTCTCTTGCTGTTAAGATACAGGCATGATGAAACACCTTAATCTCTCAGTATTCATCTATTTATTCATAAAAAAATAAAAACTTGTTCAAATGTTTAATCATTGAAAACCTACTGGTGAATTACTGAAGCAAGGAGGGTTGCTGAGTGAAAAGAGACGTGCAATGAGTTCATATAGCAATCTTATCCATTTCTTCAAGTACTATAAAGAACATGGATGCATTTTGCAGTCACTACATTTTTATGACTCGATGATTGGAAATGCTGAGAATTTTGAATTTATTAAACAATTCAAAAAGTCAAATCCATTACTTAAGTAAATATGACAGAGGGGAATTAAGGAAAAAAAAAAACACATTCAGCCTTTCTCATGATACAATCACATTTATACTCCATGCATAGGATGCTAATATAGCATTTTCAGCTGGGCCCAGTTTCAGATTATTAAGCAAACAAAAGTTCCCCAAAACACCACGTGCTTAATTTGACTGCAGGGATACAACAGCTAAACCCAGTAATCCACAGGCTGAAGGCAGCTTCAAAGCAGTTCAGCAATAGGTTTTCTGGAGGTTAAACTTACCACTGTTACTCACACCGCTAAAAATTTAGAGCAATCCCTTTGTAATCATGCCTGCTACTGCAGTAAAGAATTCCATGTTTTGGTTTGCTTTTTAGGAGGTGGATCCATAGTTCGTTGTTGTTTGTTTGTTTTAAAACACAACTGCGTTTGTTCCACATTCATTAACACATCTGAAAAGTTAGCGATAACTCACGGCTCGGCGAATGCGGGGCCTTTCTGACACTCCCTTGCAGATTGATGTAGACAGGCAAAGATACATTGAACCTTTATAAATAAAACAAGGGGCCAGATTGTTCAGTTTGTATAGAATAATAGACTCTGCCAGCAATTTTAACACAGCATCTAGAAATACACGTTGACTGTAAAGATTCTTCTACATAAAGACAAATGAACAAAATCAAGAGAACTGTTGAAAAAAAGGCAGCTGACGGCTATTGGGCACTAACCTAGCAGCAGTTAAGGAGTTCCCAAGACTAGGAAATTGCTGAGAGACTGACGGTTCCCTAGGTAAAGTTGGAAAGAAGATTTTCACAGACATTACCTCAATGTCCAGAGGTCGTTGTGTTTGTATGCAATTAGTGACTGACTCTGCAACATGGGCTCTTTCCCTCTAAGGGGCTAACGTGACAACCATAATCACCAAACTGGGACAAGACAACAGAGAAAATAAAGAGGTACTAGGAACAGATCAAATGGCAGCCTTGTAAATGTATTCCACGTTTACACTGCAACTGGCATTCATATTTCTGCACAGTGCTTTTGGTCTGGCATTTCAGACCTCCAGAGAGGCTCCCGCACACAGAGCGCTCCAGTACATACACCTTCTTATCTACATTCCCCATTCTTTCTAATCTGTGCTGTTTCTGATTTAGAAAGAAAGAAAAGGTGCTTTGTCCAACCTCTTACAGATAACTGAATTGTATATCCCTCTTAGAACTTCTTCCAAACCCCAACTGCCTCCAAAGAAAATATATTTTATTTTCTCATCACTTTGTAAGCTCCAGTACCCCCAGAATGGCACAGAACTGCTGGCAAAGCAGAAGATGCAGCCTGCTGCCAGCCTACACATCAGTCATCTGCAGAGGGTCACGACCTCTGGGGGCTACGTGGGCTGCTGGAGGGGGCAAATGAGACCCACAGATCCATGCTACGCACAACACTCAGCACACTGCAGACTCAGAGGTGCTTTCTCAGAGGCACCCACAGGAATGCAAACGTAACCATTCCTAAACCCAGGGCTTCAGAGGTCAGACAGCCCATACCACACTTCTCTGCAGCAAACTATACTTAAGCTGGGGCACACTCCATAGGCCAACGCCAAAGAACTGTTAGGAGTACTTAAAGGCTTTACATATTCTGCAAAAAGAAAACAGATCCAAGGATCAAGTAGTTGCAGGCATCTAATTTTTAGAAGCAGCCTTAAACACTGCTAAAGAGGACACTACCACTAATATTTCAGACCTCCTAAGTTCTACTTTAATAGGTAAATCATTACATTAGCTCAGAATAGCAACTTATTTAACCCTTGATCTTTAGCACTCGTGCTCATTAAAGAAATCAGAGGAGACAATATCTATTACTGTAAGCCACTCCAGTGTGTCCAATGACATTTTTTTTTCCACTGAAGAAAACCACCATTGGTAAAATGTATATTGAGGTAACAGAAAAAAAATAACTTTTTTTTTCCATCAAGCAGCAGCTCTGGTTTCACACAGTGTGCCTTGCCCAAATCATATTTCTTATCCTGTATTGCATAGGTTGCTCCAAAAGTAATGCTTCCCATTTACTTTCATGGAAACTACAACACAGAGCACAGCAACACTCTTAGTTAGAGCAAATTCTCAGTTTCAAAACACTAGCTTTCAACACGTTATTAGCCATGCGTTTTCACCAGCGAGAAACATGCTGCACTTGTTAAATCTGCTGCTGTCCCTGCTGCTGGAATGCACCGTGCACCACCTCACTGCTCTCACATCCACTGTTTGGTCTCCACAAACCTTCAGCAAATATCAATGGGTGCCATTTTTTCCACGTGGGGAATGCAATGACCCCTCCTTCACACGCACTTCCACACCAGACGCCATTTTGTCAGCCTGCCCCCCGCTGCCATACCACCAACATCCACCTCTAATATTGCCAGCCAACATAATAAAATAGCAGGCATTGCTTTTGGAGCAGCCCTCGGAGATTTTCATCACAGTCCAGCAGAACAAATGTGAATCTACTGATCGTGTAATATCATGTTAAAAACTATATATCAAATTTTATCAGCAAAGCAAGCATCTTACAACAAACACTCAGCACCTTTCCTTAGCAGAACCTCATACAGTTGCAGGAGGTACTGCTGCTGTCTCCCATGGGAAGCTAATTCTGACTGAGCGCTGCTAATACCTGACACAGCTCTCTAAGGGCTGGGCTACTGAAACTTATTAACGAAGCCAGCAAATAGGCACAACTCACTAAGCACAAACATTTTCCTCAAGCCATCTGACTGGACTGATCTTTTCACAGAGTATGCGTGGCTATACTGTCAGATTCCTGAGTTGCTACCAGTTGCACACTTGGGGTAGGTTCTGCTGAAATTCACACATTCAAGATGCTTTTTGCTGCTTTTCCTTTGCTGGGAAGGTATTTGCACTCACATGGCAGTGACACAAAAGCCATTGCTTCCCTCTCCTCACGAAGAGGTCAGATTTGCACAGTCACACCAGAGGCTCTGTGTTAGCAGCCAATTTACATTTCCTGAGGACTTGCTCTAAAGGTCTCTTGATAAAAGTTTCACGCAAAATTTACACACGAGAAATTAATATTATTTGAAGTTCTTTGTGTGCAAAGATCTCTGCTGCATTTTAAAACTTTCAGTGCAAGAAGAACACAGAGAACAAGGAAATGCTTTGCTAGTCACAGCTACAGATTCTAGTTAAGGTCTCCATGTACAGCTCAAACAAACATCAGGTGAAGCACAGAGGGGCTGACTGACACATATATGTGTTCCAAACATTTAAAGGCTCCAAAGATGAATAAGTTCCTGCTAGTCACACAATGCAGTATTTGTTAGGAAGCTTGGGAGAACATCTTCATGACTACAGGTAAACTTCTAAAGCACACCATTTATCTGTCTGCATTTATCTATCTATACAGAATCTCTGCCATGTTCTTAGACTAGAACATGGCTTTGGTGTAGTGCTAATTATATACAAGTATTGGATGTTTCAAGGTGTGTCCTGGTCTCACCTGGGCCTGCACTGCTCTCCCAAGCAGTGACCCTACTGTGCCACTATGAAAATAATAGTAAGTACTCCCGGGGTACTGATGGCATGATGTGAAGATTTTGCTTGAGAAGCAAAGTCACAACTTGTAACAGCTGCAAACCTATGTGCAAGGATCATTCCTATTTTCTAGAGCATAGAGATGACAAAAAAGGCATTACCTAACCATGCCATTAGTACTATTTCATGAATCTCAGAGCTGAAAAGTTATTTAAAGTAATTTAAAAATTCATACTTTTCAGTCTCTCAGCTTACTCCACATATCTGAGTGACAAATTCACACAGCCCTGGTCATCAGCACTAAATTCACCTCTAAATCATCTCTTAACAACTGTCAGGTATGACAGTCATTTTGCTTAACTGCTAGCTCTGAAAAACAACACGGAAAAAACACGTGGATGTAAGTAGGTAGGGTCAGGACCTTATCTTCTGCACTCGTTATTTCCCAGTATTTGGGGAACCCACAGTATCTATTCAGCAGTTTATACTTAAGCCTCTCCCAGCAGGCAGCACACGTGGAGAGAGCAGTTTGACCCCAAGCGCATCTCTCCCACTGCCAGAACTCAGGGAAGGAGCAGACCACCAAAGAACACAGCTCTCAGCTCTCCCTGCCCACACGCATGGGGCCCCTGGGGAAAGGGTACAGCACAGGGGCAGGCCCAGCACAGCACGGCTCTGGGAAGCCACACGCTGGGCAATTAATTCTGTTTGAAATAGAGAAGCTCCTCGCTGAGCTTGGTCCTTGTAATTTATGTGATATTCTCTTTGACCAACACAGAACAGTGATTTTAGGCGTTCTCGGAGCTCAACAAGACTTAACAGCATTTAATAACTACACTACTTGAATACTTCACTTTGGAGCACATTCGTATACTCTACAGAGAATATTATAAGCTCTGAAAAAGCAACATAGGCCACATATTCAAGAAACATCATTTGCTCTGAGTTAGCACTATTCTCACAGAAGACACCAGATTTCCAATTTCCCACGGGTGAAAATGTTAAGCCTGCACATTCTAGGTACCTCCCCTCACCAAAAAAACACCACCAGGCTGCAGTGAGTACAACATTCTATTAATGGGGACGTTCAAACACATTCTGGTCATTCTGAACAACATCAGACACAAATCCCACCCATACACGATTTTTAGAAGCGTTTTCAAGTCAATTCTATGGCCAGGCAGAGGAAAATGAAAGGCGATGGGGACAGATGCAAGGGCAATCATGAACTGTGACCTATCCAGACTTATCCAGGAGATGGACAGCCCCATTTCACTGAAAGCTGTGATTTGCACATTGCTAGAAACAGAGGATTCATCAAAGGTAATGGACAAAATGGGGGAAAAAAAATTAAAACCCCTTTACTCTCAGGGCTAGCAGTATTTCAATGACCTTGAGCATGGCCTTGAATTTATTAAGTACCAGCTTCACTCAAAAGGACGATGATCAGCCCTGGAAACATTTTAGATTAAACAATGTTCCACTACACTTTCTACTTTTTAAGAACCAGAGTGGTGTTGGTGATCCTCAATTCCCCACTTAACTTAATAATGGCAGCCAGTATTACAAACAGCCTTTTCTCCTTATCTTTCCTCATTCTGACTGTGCTATTTAGAAGCTTCCTGTCCCACCAGTCAGTTTCAGTTCAGCAGCCGCTGTTCTGGATTTAGAAGGTGGGCGGGAAGGGGGAGTCCTGTAATCAGCAAAATAACTGCTTTCTCACAAAAGCAAAGGAAATTAGTATGATGTTGTTTTTCCCACCTTAGGTCGTATACCTAACTGTCATTTTCACTTTTTAGCAGTTCCCTGAGGTAAATCACATTCTTCTCCTATGGCCCAATGGAAAACACATTCAAAAACCACAACAGCAACTCCTGCATTTGTATCTTTCATCCAGCCCTCAAAAGCTCTCAGACACAGCCACTGGGGTGCTGACCAGAATGAGCTGAACTGCCCAAGCACTGTGCTATCCTGCCATGCTGAGTGTGCAGCCACACACAGCTGCAACAGGAAGCACTCAAAATCTTCAGGGACAAGAACAGTGTGCTTCATTAGGTCCTGCATGCTGACAACTCAGCAGCCAGCAGTGCTCTAGAAGGCAACTTCTGCATAACGGTAGTTTTCCAATGTGTTTACCGAAGAATGAAACTCCCTGAATTGGAAGAAACCCATAAGGGGCCCTGAGTACAACTCCTGTCTTCACAGGGACACCCTTATGCAATGCATCATGAATGCTTTTTGTTAGGAGTTTTATTATAATTAAAACTCTAGATTAAAAGAACTGTCAGGAAGGTGGTGCTGTCCCAGCCCCAACAACTGAGCACCAGCACATGCGGCCTGCCCAGCGAATGCACGAGGAAACAGATAATAATCATTAACTCCACACAAAGCTTCAACAAACATGCAGCGTGCCTGCAGAAAGAACTACAGCATGCAGAATACTCATGTAATCTCTAATTACTGCCAGCCCTCAGGTGCAGTATTCTCTCATTTATAAATGAAGCACTACACAGCTTATTGGGACCCCCTGTTCTCAAGCAGTCCCCAGGCCATCTGGATTACAGACCACTGCCATCGAATCTTCCACCGACCAGAAGCCTGGCTGCGCCTAAAGCACCTCTCTCAGAATTGCTGCCTCTAAATATCAGGCTATCAGGAAAGATTTTTGCGGGGGGGAAAAAAGAAAAACAAAACATAACTAAGAGCAAGAGGGATTCGTCCACTTGAGTAACTAAGTCCCCTTTCAGGAGGCAACAGCAGTCTCACCTGCTGGCTATAATGAGGATCTGGGTCACACTTCAGTCAAAAAATAACGCGACAGGCCGATGCTGCAGTGGCGGCCCTGGCCCCGGGGCCATTTTCTCGCTCGCCCCCCCCCGCCCGACCCGGAGGAAAGCCCCGCTCTGGGCGGGGCCCGCGGGAAGCGCCGCCGCCGATCGGCGGCGGCGGCCGAACGCAGCTCCGCCCCGCGGCGCCGCCAATCACCGCCCGCAGCCGCCGCGACTTCGAGGGCTCCGGCGGCCCCGCCCCGCCCCGCTCCCCCCGTTCCCTTCCCCCCTCCCCCCCCCCGGTCCCTGCGGAGCCGCTTACCGTCCCGGGACGTGCCCATGAGCTGGTCCAGCATGGCGCGCATCTGGGCCTGCGCCGACATCTTGAGCGCGCGGGGGCGGCCCGGCCCGGCCGAGTCTCGCCGACTCCCTGCGGCCTACAAGGCCCGAGGCTCTCGGCCCTCCCCCTCGCGTCACTCGCGGACTCGCGCAGCGACACCGCCGCCGGGGACGAAGCGGGCGCTGCTTATGGCCGTGCCGCGGACGGAGGACGGAGCGCGAAGCCCGCCCCGCGCCGGACCCGCCGCTGCCGCCTCCCCTCCCCCCGCCTGGCCGCCCGCTTCCTCTCACGCCTGCCACGCGCGCGCGCCAGCGCTAACGGAAACCCGCGCGCACGCGTCGTACGCCCCCCCCCCCTTCACCCGCTCCGCGACGTCATCGCGGACGGAGCCTTTGGCACTCTCTGATTGGCCGCCGCGCGCGGTGACGCGCGGCGCGGCGAGGCCGCCGATTGGGCCGGGCGGCTTCTCGCGCGGTGATTGGGCGGGAGGCTCCGCGCAGGCGCCGTGAGACACGGGCTAGGCGGGCGGCCCCGAGGGGAGCCCGCCCCGTCAGCGGGTGCGCGGCGTCGGGCCTGGCGGCGGCGGGCGCTTTGTTGTGCCTGCGGCCGCCGTGTTGCCCTCTAGCGCCCGGCCGCAGCCGCCGACTGGTACAGGGACTGGCCCAGCTGTGAATCTGCCGCCCGCAGACAGGGGACGCGTTACACTGTCAGACTTTGCTCGATGCAACCGAAAGAAAAGGCGACACAAAAAAGCCGCCCCGCCCCAGTCGGGATTCAACATGAACTGTGGGGAAGATGCAATGAATCCCCACAAAAGTAGTTCTTAGAAGGTGTTTGTGGAAAAATTCCTGGCCCGGAGATCCTCACGCAGTCTGAACATGCCCTGGATTTATTGTTTCCTTTGTCAGATTTGGTTTTGGTCGTCATTATGGTATACAGTAGGTGTTGGATGGGGCGAATCCTCAATCCACTCAGAAAGTAAATCAAAAGCTTTCCCCTTGTTCAGCTGGTGAGACTGCAGAACTGCCAATGCAATTTATAGCCTACAAAACCTTACGGCTTACCACTTGCATCTTACCTGACCCACATCACCCAGATCTCCCCGGCCATCTGCTGTGCCCATCTCCTGTGCCTGGGGCTGGGCTGGTGTTAAGGAAAAAGGATAGCATGTGGATTTAGGTAGTTGGATCGAGTGTATCCTCAGTAGTTTGCAGATGACACTGAGCTGTGTAGTGTGGTTGACACACCTGAGGATTCTACCAAAGATATGCTCGAGCAGTGGGCCCAGGAGAACCGCATTAGGTTCAATAAAACTAAGTGTGAGGTCTGCACATGGGTTGTGCCAACCCCTGCTACCAGTACAAGCTGGAGCATATAAGGATGGAGCACAGCCTGTGCGAAAAGGACTTGGAAGTAAGGGACGTGAGTCAGCAGCGTGCCCTCACGGCCCAGAAAGCCAACTGAAAGCTGTATCAAATGGAGTATGGTCAGTAGGGAGAAAGAGGTGATCCTGCCCCTCTGCTCTGCACTGTGAGATCCCACCTAGAGTGCTGCGGCCAGACAGGAAGTCCTCATTACAAAGAAGTGGATCTGTGGGAACACATCCAGAGGAGGGCCGTTTAAGTGATCCAAGGGATGGAATGCCTCCCTATGAGGACATGTTGAGAGAGCTGGGGCTGTTCAGACTGGAGAAGAGAAGGCTCTGGAGAGACCTGAGAGTGGCCTTTCAGAATCTAACAGGGGGCTGTAAGAAGGGGACAGACTTTTTAGCAGGGTAGTGGCACTGGGGCAGGTTGCCCAGAGCGGTGGTGGTGGTTGCCCCATCACTGGAGACACTCAAGCTTCAGGATGGGGATGGTCTGAGCAACTTGTAGTTGTCCCTGTTCATTGCAGGGGATTTGGACTGGGTGGCCTTTAAAGGTTCCTTCCAACTCAAATTATTCTGATTTTATTAGACAAAGCTATTTTGTGTGCAGTGCTTTCTGATAGCATGCTTTGTTTTCCCTGGTAGTAAAGCCAAAAGAAGCACTCTTTTGTTAGTGTCATTTTAAGCTCCTCAATTACAAGCAAACCTCCACTGTAAGTTACCCTGATTACAGATTTCTTACACATACTGCACAGAATTTGAGCCTCTTCTGAGAAGTGGGCAGCAACAATTGGAGCTGCTATTTTCCTCTGATAAAAAAAACGATTCACTGTTCCAGATTGTGAGAAGAGAGAAGTGGTGTTATTGTGACTATAGCTCATCATAACATGATTTATACGAGGGCTGCTTGAAAGTAATGCCTCCTATTTTATTATGTTGGCCCATGTCAGAGCAGATGTTGGTGGTATGGCTGTAGAAGTTGTACCTTCCCACCAGCATTCCATTACATTTTGTTGCTTTGAGACAGAAGGGCAATCGGAAAAAATGGCATCTAACGTGGAAGCAAAGGTGTGTCACTGAATTCCTCCATGGGGAAAAAATGGCACACAGTGACATTCACTCATCTTTGCTGAATGTTTATGGAAACCAAACAGGGGATGTGAGCACCGTGATGAGGTGAGTGCTGTGTTTCAGCAGAGGCAACAGTGATGCGGAAGACCAGCCACGTTCCAAATGGCCAAATGCAGATTTTTGTGAGCATGGCACACAGGCTCTTGTTTATCACTGGCAAAACTCTATCACATATGCTTATGTTGAAAAACAGTGTTTTGTATCTGAGAATTTGCTCTATCAAGTAGTGTTATTGTGCTCTTTGTATCTGCTGTATTTTCCATGGAAATAAATAGGAAGCAGTACTTTAGTACACATTATATTTGGTACAACCAGCAGCTATCAGGTCTCCATTTAATGAAACACAGAAGACCTGCAGTCTCAGTCACCCAAGTCCAGAACACTGACAAGCAATTCATTCAGCTGCATTCTAACTTACAACCACAGCTGTGGGTCAAAGTCTTCAAACTGAATGCTTTTGCTGCAGCAGTGCTCACCCTCCAACACTGCAAAGATAGGGCCTTTCCTCTCAGAGAAGTACAGAATTCCTCGTGTACTGGGAAACTCTGAAGTCCTCTTACCTACAAGTTCAGGGGAATAAAACAAACAAGTTTATACCTCCTTAAACAGTTCGTGGCGAGTCCGGGCTGCAGCTCTGATCCCCCCAACCCGAAGCGGACAGAACACACAAGCTACAAGACAGCTTCAGAGCCGAGGGCGTTTATTCGGCGCCGAGCAGCGGGCGGCACGGGGCGGCTTCAGCCCTTCCCCCCCGGCTGCCGGGGCAGCCTGAAGCCCACCAGCCCCGCCACCTCCTCGGGGGATCGCTCCCCGCGGCCGTGGTACTCGCGATGCAGGGCCTGGTGCTGCCGCACGCTGCGCAGCAAGCACAGGTAGGTGGCGGCCTGGAAGTGCAGCTCCTGCTGGGCCCGGCACAGCTTCTCACTGGTCACCTGCGGGGAGAAGCAGCAGAGGCCCGGAGATGGCAGCGGGAAAAGGGCAGCGGGAAAAGGGCGGCAGGGAAAGGGCTCGGAGGCCTCCTCTCCGCCTACGCCGTACCCGGTGAGCGCGGAAGGCGGCGAGGACGTGTCGGTAGGCGGCCGTGTCGCGATAGGCGCGCCCGCTGACATGCCGTAGCTCGCGGAGCAGCCCGCGCAACGTCCGCAACGGAGAGCCCAGCGCCGCCATCTTCCCGCTCCTCTCCCTTCGCCAATCAGGCGCCGGCGACGCGCCGCATCGACCAATCAGAAAGCGGGCGGCTCGCGCAGTTTTTCGCCCATCAGTAGAGGTCAGATGCCGAAGGTCGAGAGCCCCCGTCGGCCGTTGGGCGGAGCGACGCGCGCTCACGGGGTTGAGGGGCGCCGGAACCATAGCAGCCGAGGATGGATGTCGAAGCGCGTGGTGTGAGCGCGGCTAATGAAAGCGGCTCAGCCGCAGATGGTGGGCACCCACCTTGTCCAGGGGCTTACATTACAGCAGGGTCGCGAAAGCCGCATTCAGGTCGTTATGAGAATAGCTCCCACCCAGCACCTGTTCAGCGTCGAGGCGCCCCGCTGCGACCAGGCATCAGAAAACGGAGAGCAATGCTACAGCCAGAGGGAAAGGAGGAAAAAAAAAAGACCACCCCAGATGGGACTCGAACCCACAATCCCTGGCTTAGGAGGCCAATGCCTTATCCATTAGGCCACTGGGGCTGCCACGAGAACGCACTTTTTCTGCTGCCTACTTGTTTCCTCTCTCCTCCCCTCTTCCTTTTATAGATGCTGTCTGACGGGCGCTGATTGGCCAGCACCAATCCGTCCCACCTCCCTGCCACGGAACCTTCTGGGAGCCGTTCGGCCTTCATTCGTCAGTGGCGCTGGAACGCGGCCGGGCAGACGGGAGAGGTTCTGAGGTGCTGCCGGCCTCCCGGACGTCTTTTCCCTGTGTGGCTCAACAGCTGCTGCCCGCTCGAATTCACAACAAAGGAAAATCCCATAATAAGCCCAGACCAATGGCCTTTTACGTGGTGCACTTTTCATCTTTTATTTTGTGAGAAATCACAGAGACAAGGCTCATATGTACATTCCTCTTTATTTAATACAGCACAGACACGTAACAGATAAAAAAGAAAACACTCATGAAAAAGCCTGTCGCCATCAAGGACAGGGCACAGCTACACCCAACTGCGTAAGGCCCCTACTGCAGAACAGGGCCTGCTGCCTAAACATGGAGCCCAGAGCAAAACCGCTGCCAAAAAGTCTTCTGCTTTCAGGAAAGCAGAATGGAGAAGGAAAAAAAAAAAAAAAAGAGGGAAAAATCCTTCCAGGAATGGGTGAAGCAGGTGGCACCTGCAAGGCTTCTTGTAGGACACAAACACTGCTACCTGTTTGGACCAAAGCACTAAGAGAAGCAACGCTCTGCAGCTCTTCTTGCAGAAGCCCAAGCCCAATAACCCAGTAATAACCAATAACCCTGACTTCTGAAAATGCCACCTGTCTCAGGGATGGAAACCTGAGCATCTGGAAGGAGTGAAAACACAGAGTAGTCACAAGAGATTTAATTAGTCTCCCTGATAGGGCTTTGCCCGTCACAGCTGGGAATGTGCAAGAGAACAAACCAGCTTCCCAATCAAAAAAAACTAATAGTCACTGAACTGACCAGAGCTGTACACATTTGAAAACGATGCAGGCTTTTGTGGCAGCAGCTTCTTCCTTCTCCCTCTTCAGTTCAGGATGGAAATAAAGCAGGCACCAGTTCCTCTGACAAAGAGCCTTACACATTTTTAAAAAATTAAAATACAAAAAAGGGAGACAGGTGTATTTACAAAATCCATGGCTGGTACAGTACATCATTTTTAAGACACACTAAATGCTACAATCTTTCAGGTCCTGAGATTATTACCAAAAAAAAAAAAAAAAAAAAAAAAAAAAGCAACAACTCAAAACTTGTGTTCAGGTCCAGTTTTATAAGGAGAGAGGAAGGAAATCACACACTTAAAATACAGTATTCCTTGACGTTAGTGGAACACACCTCTCTAAAAATCCAAAAGAAAGTGGTGCTAATCACCCAGCCGTAGCTGCGTTTGGTTGTTCAGGCTTGCGGTCACAAGAGGGAAGCATTTCACAGGGGAGTTTCTCTGGAGAGCAAGCCAGGTAAGCACCTGGCTGTGAGGATTCTCTGATACTAAGCCTGATGATCTGAAACAGGCAAGTATTAAAAAGCAGGAAGGTGATCCGAAGCAAATTCACACTAAACTGAGTAGAACATCACAGGAATCACCAATTCAGAGAGGTCTACCATCTTGCACCACTTTGCTTAGGGCAGAGGCCTACGAAGAACGCCAGTTTTAAGACAAGTGACCAACTGTTTCAAGCTACACCAAGAAAGGCAGGAAAATGCTTTGCCCACCATTTTCTCTGCTGTTGACTTCACATAGCTTCCTTCATTCACCTGGGGATCAGCAAGTCAGGTGGGGTTAAGCTGATTATATTTAAACTTGCTAAAAGTACACATCCTACATGTGACAACAAAGAGTAGAGGCTAAACTTCTGTCAGTGGGAGGACCCTGCTGCCACTAGCTGGGTAGGCAGGGATTTATTTGAAAGCTCTGCTCCTGATTCAGCCCCATCACCAGGCAGAACTGCAGGGACTTGCATCCACACCTGTATCTTCAATGAAATAGTCTGAACATCGTGCTCTTATATCACCAGAAGTTATAACCACAGATGCCCTTTTATTATAAGCAACCTGACTTTAAGCTAGAAAATACCAACATTTTCAGGGATTATTCATGAAATGCTTTTAACCCTCAGTAAGAAGACTACAAAAGACAAATCACAGAACAAGGGTACTAATTTAACAGCTAAAATATAACTGCTCAGTAGACTTTTTGGAGAAAATAGCAGTAATGAATTTTGTATTTTTTTTTAAATAGTAGTCCAAAAATAGTATTTCTCCATCTATTTTCAACAGAGATCTTGAGAACTATGCAAGAACATGGTACTAATTGCTACATGATGGAATTACCAGTCATAATACACACTCTACAGTTCTCACCTCTGAGCTAAACTGTTATTTGTAGTTACAAACAAGACTAAAAGATCAGTCAGGAATAGCGGGGGAATCACAATTTTGCTTTTATTTGAAGATCCAGCTACTGTGTAGCTCATACCTGCCCTTGTTTAGAAACAACTTCATTTAACTGAGAAACTGATTTAATTCACTTCTGATAGTGGAAGGAAACACAGGATCTCATTATCTTCTCCCCGTATCCACTTTGCACATTAATAAACAACATCACTACGGCTTCTTAAAACCAATTTTGAGAGCTGACTACTCCAGAAGCTCTCAGACTGAAACCTGTCAAAGAGGTGATTTTAGATTCCCTCATGAAGCAACTTCATGAGACTTGACAGTAGGTGTTGCACCAGCAAGAGGGTTTCTTTTTTAATATACAAATTTCTTTCTTCACTTTAACAAAAGGAGTTCTAAAGACATTCAAAAAATATTCCATTTTCTTTGGGTAAAACTTGAACGAATGTTAACAGGGTAGCTGGGGGAAGGAACGCACGTAACACTTAAATATGTAATGAATACTTATCTGCATAGTTGATATTAGTGACTACTAATCAAACTAAGGCCTTATCTGGAGAAAGTTGAGAACACAAGAATGTTTCTTCTCCCACCTCCTACTCCACCGGTGAAATCTAAGAAGTCTTAAAGGAGCTCTGGCTGTGTCAGCAGCTGCTTGGCCTGGTCTGCAGCAGTGTTATCTCCCAACTGGTTTGGGTCAATTCTCTCACCTTTTTCTCTCGATAGTGGACAGTAACAAAATGTAATTGTACCTGTTCCTAGAATATATTTGCATATCCTGGAGCATGATAGGAGTTAGTGTGCACTGCTTGTTTTGGATTACTTCACTATGAAGAAAAACTTGTTAGTTAATGGTTATTATATTTGCGGGAGCTGAGGGCAAGGGGAGAGGCTGAAATTCACTTCTAGATACAAAACACAAAAATGTCATTCTTCTAGAGTTGCTCTGTAGAACTATAGCTGTCAAAAAAAATGGCTACAAAATAACAGAACTATGTCCTTGACTACTGACAAGATTAGCACAGTATCATCTACAAGGAGTGTGCAAAAAAAATGGCCCTAGGGAACCTTTGTGCTTCCCCAGTTTTGCCATGCTGAGATCTCTCAGCGTAACACAGCAGCAGTGGGGCTTCCCACAGCCCCCAAAGGCTATTACAGCAGCAGGGTTATCACTGGGTCACAGAATATGGGCAACGAAGCCACACCAGAAGTTTCCACAGCCAGGGCACTCCCCAATGCAATGGTAATCTTTCATTTTGCCAAGTCAGCCTACTTAACTTAGGCAGTGATTTCTAGAGTAGCAGACACTGATTTTTGAACAGCCACGTGTGAAAAGCACTGCAACTAGCAGCACCAGCTGTGGATACCTGATCTGTCAATCAGCCTAGGATGAAGAGCAGACATGCCTGAAAGGAACTAACAGCAGAAGAGACAAGTAGGAGCAATTCACTGCCATGGGTGGATTTGGCCAACTACTGAAGTTGCTCTCAGCAGCTTACATAAGGCAGATAAGGAAGCACTCTAACTCCATCTGAACAAGCTACCAGCAATAGCATTCTTTCCGACTGGCACCATTAGACTGGTAGAGATTAAAAAAAAACAAAACCACAACAACAGGAAAAGAAACAAAAAGCTATGCCTAGTTTAAGCAGGTTCACTTGAACGCGATATAGCAGGCTGTTTTCAGCCACAGGAACATGTTGCATTTGATATCCTACTTTTAGCTCTCTAGATGGGCTGTCAACCTCAGTATGAAGGACTCTTCTAGCCATTCTCACTCTGGTTTTTCTGAAAAGAGAAGGTAAACAGACCCTTTTCATACTGCAACTCAAAACTGTATCTTCCCCAGTGGAAACACATCACAGAACTAGCAGTCTGGTGATGCTTGTGTAAGTCTAGCACTTGATCAACAAATGAATTGCTAATTTCAGGTACACGTTTGCAACAATAGTAAGTTACATGTATCCTCAGCACAGAACTATTAAAACTACTAGAAGTTCCACTACAGATTGCTAATTTTGTCAGAGACAAGGAAACAAGCAGACACTGTTTTTAGTGTTCTGCACCTAACAATACATGATCTTACTGTTTGTTATTTTAAGAGAACAAATGAAATCTCAGCAAGAAAAACTACAAGACAAGTACTTGATGTGAATGATTTAGGCAAGCTTGCAAAGTACAGTCAAGTTAAACTTCAGAGTAGTTGCACTCTTGCATGTTGTAACAAGTTCCTTCTTACACATAACACATGGTAGGAAGGGACGGTTTTAGTAAATGTAAGAATCCTTGCACAATCCAGTGTCAAAAGACATGACAAGCTGTACACAGGATTCCTTGCGATTCATCTCCACTAAAACTTGTTGAAAGCTATTTTAACCTTCTTTCCCCACTCCTTACAGTTATGTTAGCCACACATTTGCTTCAAATTCAGTAATAGTGTGAAGTGGTCCAGTATTTAAAGTCGTCTGTTGTATTTGTGAACTAAGACCCAAACTTAAAACCTTCAGAGAAAAATGCACGAAGTTCCATTCCCATTGGCCGCTTCTTCCTTTCTGTCACACACGTTTACACACTCACACACACACCCCTTTACTGCACTGCCACCTTTGCCCAAGTGTTCATTCTTCGTATGCAAACATTAACAGAGACAGCAGAACGGCGCACTGTGCGTGACAGGAGCCTAAGGAAAACTGCTGTGTGCGAGTGTGTGCAGGTGTGAGAGAAAAGAAAGGACAAACATACAGAACCAACGCCATGGTACAGCAGCTATGAGTCACATACATTACATACTTTTTTCTTTTTTTTTTTTCCTTTTTTTTTTTTTTTTTTTTTTTTTTTTTTTTTTTTACAAAAGGGAAAAATAGTATAACAGCATAAAGCCACCTTGGCAAGCTTAAGATTTTCCTCCAAAATGCCTTCCAGCACTTCAGGATCTCTGAGAACAGTTTAAAGAGGGTAGGGAAATAAAAAAAAAAAAGGCACTTAAACAAAGGACAAAGGCCTGAATCAAGTAAGTCATGGAGGGTAACAGCCATTTCACCAGAGCTCGGGCCAATCAAAAAAGCTACCAACTTAAATTTTTCTCAAAATCAAAATTGCATAAAGTGTTAATTAAATCATTTACCTACTGCTTTAACTTTCTGCATCATTTTCTGAAACAAAAAGCCAGTGTCCCTTTAGTGATTTCCCCCCAGTTCAGCAAAAGATGAAAGGTGTGGGAGGAATCCCTCCACGGCTTGGCCTAACAGCAGGCTTTCCTGCAATGCCATCTGCCAAAAAACAAAAACAAAAACCCACAAAAAAACAACCTCCAGAACAAAAACAGGAGAGGGACTACTGTGCCTTTAACAATTCACTCAAAAACAACAACAACAAAACCAAACAAAAACCACAACAACCACCCACTAAAAACCAACACAAAAACAACCACAACCCAAACACCCCAACACCTCTAATCCATTTGTGGGCAAAAACTACTCAAAAGAAAACAAACTGTAAACTAGATTAAATTTTGCTAATAAATACAGCCAAAAAGTTCATTTTATGAATGTAGCAGCAAATGTGATAAGGTTAGTTGGGGTCCAAGACGACTCCAAGAGGGTTAATGGTTCACACAACTGTTGTCAGACTGGGAGATTGCAGGATTTCTCTGTTTTCATGTCCTCAAGGATCTTGCACCGAGTGGAGAAGGAGTGTGGAGGAAGGGTCAGGTAATGGGACTGAGGGACTGAAACAGGCTCTTGGCACCTGTCCCACCCCCAGATCTGTGCATCAGACAACTCTGATTGGATTCAAACAAGAAGCAGAACCCAGGCAATTAAAAGTTACTTCTGATTAGCAGAAAACAGATGTGAAACCCACAGCATCCACACTTGTGACTTACTAATTCAGTATTAATCATGTCTTGCATCAACTGACAAGGCTGGACAAAGTGATTTAGGCCGTTAGCATCTTGGAGCGAGAGAATACCGCAGTAACAGTCCAAGGTATCAGAAATTCTGCTGCCCATTTTTCGTCTAGCCTGCCACCTTCTTTCTTACTATGCAAATGTCTCAAAAGGATTTAAAATAGCTACCGTGGCTTTTGGGACTTTGGATCATGTTGCAGAAAACATTACCCGCAGGGTTTTAACATCTAAAACCTGTGTTTGAAATTATTGCTTGCATTTGTTTGGGGCTTTCAGTGAGCTTGACGTGGTAGCTCATGTACAGACCCCAAACCGAGTTCAGCCCTGCTGCTTGGAAAAGACAGCTCTACTTGGCTTTCTTATTGCTTGTGAATACTGAGGGTTATTTAATAAGTACAACTATAGTGTATTTATTACCAAAGGCCCTTAAAAAGGAGTAAAAATCTGGGGGTAAATGACCTTAGGAGAGCTGCTGTGCAGAAAATAGTAAAACATCAAGTTAATTTTGCATTTGGACATTGCAGAAATTTTTCACTTCCCCATCCTGTTTGTGCAACCTGCAAAGGTCATTCAGAACCGCTCTGTTATTTCCTTTAATTTGGCCTTGCTTGGCTTAACACAGAAGAATAGGGAAAAGGCAATGCAGATCCTTCCCATCATTATGCTGCTGACCCCAAGCAGCTCAGGAATATAACAACTGAAAACAGCTAGCCTCCAGTGGGCTGTCTGAACGTGCTTCAGGAAGAATGAATGGTCATCTTCATGCTTGCCACCTTCCTACCTATTTTCACCAGTTCGCTCATTCCTCAAGACTCAACAGGCCACACAGACAGGATCACTTCCTAGCCTCCAGATTTGGAGTAGATACCCCTCAACTGAAGGCGAGGCACACTTCCAGGAAGAGAGGGATGTTGAAAGGAAATTTGTGCTGTTATTATAAGTCTCCCAGTCGAAAATTTCATGAAGCAACTACGAAGACAAAAGATGCCAATTTGAATGAGATGCCTTGATGAAGAAAACACAGAAGAGGTAGAACTCTTAGGACAGGGTTGTTTGGTAGTTTTGTTTTTTTTTTGTTTGGTTGTTTTTTTGGTTTTTAGTGTGGTTTGTTGCTGTGATGGTGTTTTATTTGTTTTTAATATATTGCTGCTTGATGGCTCACTGCTGCAACTCCCTTAGCTACTTGCATTATTAAAAATGTATCAGGTTTGACAGAATTCAGAGAATTAACATTGTTAGGCTTCCAAAAACTTCTCTTCCTTCAACCCTTCCTGGAGAAGAGAAAGAAAATCAGATAAAGTTGCACTCTAGATAGCTTGTGGGATTTAATGTTCAACAGAATACGCACATTATTAGGAATGCAAGAGTCTATGTAGCTGTATGTTTCAACTCTAAATAACCCTGACTGAGATGCAAGCTCATCTAATCAACATGCCACATACAAAACATTAACATTAGCTAAAAAGCATCTAATTGGCTGACGCTACTGAGTGAAATTCAAGAACTAATGTATCTTATTTTAATTCAATGTGTCTTTCACAGAAGTGTTGTGCAAAAACATTTATTGCTGAGCTCAACCCAACATTTTTATACTAAATACACAATATATATTATTTTAGATTCATGTATATATATATTTTTATATAAAATTAAAATGAGCTCTAAATAGAAAAGAAATTGTTCTCTGGTCTAAGAAAAATAAGTCACATGTAAAAGTAACCTGAAAGCTATAAGTTAATCTAGCAAAAAACACTGAAGATTCCTTATCTGTGAGTCAAAGTATCTCTGGAAGGTGAGACAACCTGTAGTCACTGGCTCAAACTCACCTCAAACTACTGGAAAGACTAGGTATTAAGAATTTCAGCATCTCTGATCAAAGGAATGTTTCAGGGTTGAAGGAGAAGGACATAATGCCATTTTAGATGCTTCTTTCTTATTATGGTTTATTTTAGTTTCTGCTATTCTCACCTTTCATCTGACAGCACAAGGGACTCAACAGCATAGTTCTGTTCTAGTGGCAAAAGTGCAACATGTGCTGGATACCTCCTAACCTTACAAATGAACCAGTCCATGTATTGCTATTAAAGAAAAAAAAAAAAAGCCAGCTTTGCCGTCTTGTGCTACCATGTAAGGAAGAGTTCAGGTTGGAAACTTCAGGCCAGCAGGGGCTAGAAATGCTGGAGGCAACCCAATCAGCCCCCGGAAGAGAAGGCACCTCTGGTCGCTCTTGAACGACTCCTCTTTGGCTAATGCCTGAAGCAATATCAACCTGGCTCTGGAGTAAGTCACATCCCGCTTTCCTTTACTAGCAAATCATGATAATGCATGGCTTTTGGGAGCAGTTGCACAAAAGATGAGAAAGATTTAAAATGTTTCATAAAAGATGCGATAGAACACTACTTAATTTTAGTAGGATAAACAAAAGGGAAAGGAAAAGAAAGGTTAACGGAGAGACAGAAAAAAAAATAATCATAGAATGCCTTTAAAAAAAACAGATGTAGGAAAGAAACGCTAGCCTGACCAACAATATGTGGCTTTTCCTTTTCTTTAAGATGAAAAATTTCCAAACATCTTTCCTCCCTTGAGTAAGAATCATTATGTTAAAAAAAGAAAAAAAAAAGCAAGGATCAAATGCTTTCCTAGTAGTCTCTCACATCTCATGTACCAGGAGATCTGTTTTTGAAGACAGCTCCTTGAGATTAATGTAGGCTCTCTATAGCCAAACAACCTTGTAAAGCTGGAAGAATGCCCACATCAGAACCTGCATTTCTGTAAGTTTTTAAATACAATGCAAAGTATCCCAGCACCACCTCTACCCTACACAACCTTTGGCCCAAAGCCATATGGTACACTCAGGACCTACATATAATCTTATACCGGGCACTTCAGGAACTAATAAAGTAGATGACTTCACCTCATGCAATAGATGGAGAAACCTATTCTAGCTCCTCTCATTATTTTAACTCTTTATTGAAGATTACCCAGAAAAAAAAAAAGTTTGTGCTGCTGTGGGTTTGACAATCAATTTCTTTTAAAAGCCAATCAGAACAATGAAAAAAAGTTTGTTTCTTTAGGCGAGATCAAACTATGACCAGTCTGCATGACCAGGAGGAGGACCAGTCCTCCCTTTTTCCTTCTCTCTTTGATCAAGTATTGTTTTCTTTTTCTTCTTCCTCTCACCACAGTGCTTGGGATCAGAATATGTAAACATCGACAGAAACAGCAGCCCTGTGACAAATAAGCACTTCCCCAACTGGGCAGATTCTGTCAGCCAACCAGAACTGCTTCAGCTCCCTTGCTTGTCCAGAAGTCACTGGTTTTTCCGCTGTAACTTAGTGTCCCCTTTACTTTGGCCTCCATCTGTAGTTTAAAAGACAGGAAAAGAAGTGGAAGAATAAAAGCATGAACAAAATTTACAACTTACAACATATTTGGAATATTCATCTTTAACATCACCAAAAAGTGCATTCTTTATAGTGCAGAAGACTTCACATATTTTCTATAGATCTTTTATTATTTTGGTTTAAATAGCACTGTTGAAACCCAAGATATCAAGCTATATACCTAAAGATACCACTTCACTAAAGGTAAGTTGCAGCTCTGAATAACAAAAAAAAAACCAAAAATAAACCAAGAAAAATCAAGCTTTTCTTTACTTTCTCAGAATTGTAGGTCACTCCAAAGCCCTTGTGGTGACAGGAAAATTGAAGTTCGTACAACATACAGGTGATTGGTCTATTTTCAGAGCCCTGACACAACACTGCCCAGTTTTTGGAGCCAAGTACTCCAAAAAACAGGACGATGAATCCACAGAGACACTGGTACCTTTCATGTTCCCCTTCCTGGCTCAAAAAAAATAATCCCTACTAATGCACCACTGAGACCTTTCAGCAGTAGGCTTGACAAGCATAAAAAAATATTCTACTTCAATCTTCTTCTCTCAAAACATGTAACTTTATTATCAATGTTAAAATTCCAAGGGAAGATTAGTGTTCCATTAGGAATGTATCACACTGTTCACACATGCACACGAACTGCAAGAAACATCAAAAAGATTCTAAGCGTGAAGGTCAGTTTGTCCTCCAAAGGAGAAATTAAGAAGCAGTGGAAAAAACAATTCCCTTCCAGTGTAGACTACACAGACTGTAAACAATCATGAGAACACCCAGTAAGTAATAGTAGCTTTTTCTACTGGTGAAATTTGGAGGCTTACGTTTCTACAACTGCTATAATAAAGTATTATTGATATTTTGAGGTGGTTTTTTTGTTCCTGGCATTGAACATAAACAGAAGAAAACCTGCTCCATTTCTAAAACTATTGCTGTAACAGAAAGTGCACTACCTGCTGCTACCAAAGCTTGTTCTTTTTCCTGTCTTCTCTAAACCAATTTTAAGTAGTGTACATTTTATTTCAATCTAGAGCAGAAATATAACTTGTTTTTTTAAGTTATAAAAAGTAGTAAGAGAAATATTATCTTTACCTGTGTAAGCTTGCTGCAAGTGAGCAGGCAGAGGTGAGTGAGATAACGCTGCTGCGTGCTGAGCACCTGGCTGTAAACCCTTCAGTAAGTCTGAGAAAAAAAAAACAAGGAGAAAAGCAAGGATGAAAAATAACAGACCAAGTTTGCATTTGAAACAGAAATTAATGTAGTAGTGTGCTAATTTGCATAGATTTCTGAAGACATCTCAACAACAAATATAAATACATATTAGTATTCTGATGGCTGGTATACAAGTCAATAAAACATACCTGTTCACAACTAATTAATGAAAGTCAGAGCAAGGCTCATGCCTCACTACTGGGATGCAATTCTTCATACTATTTCCTTTGGCACAAAGGCCAAAATTGATACAGATTAAAAGCTTAAATAATTTCTCCTAAACAATCAGAAATAGTAAATCCTATCTTAGTTCATGTTTCTTGTAAGAAAGTGGTTTGGCACCAGAGGGTCTAAGCTAAGGATATTTCAATGAATCATTACTTCAGGTCTCATGTTTGTATTGTGAAATAAAGAGAATATTAAGACATTTCTTTCTAAAGACAAGAGAACAAGTTAACTCAAAAATGCATGATAAAAAACAACTATACTAAAACAGTGAAGTTATTATTACCTATCAAATGTGATTCATAACATTTGGATAATCACATAAGAAAGTTTTACCAGAGAAGAAATCACATTTCTTCTCTTGTACTCATTACCTCAGAACTACAGCACTTCCCTTCTTAACTTCTGTTTTCAGGATGCCTCTTTCCATACAGCAGTGTGATAAGGAATTTCACTCACTTTGAGTTAGGCTGTGGTGGAAAGCCGCTGAGGTAGATCCCGAGGTGGTTGTCACTCCAGCTGTGTCCGTCCCAAAGCCAAGCAGCTCCAAGGGAAACTGGAAGGGCACAGTCACAGGAACAAGGCCACCCAGCATCCCAAAAGGAGTTAATGGTGCAGATGTCACGTTCTGACTGGTTACAGACAGGGGTGATGCCATGAGAGTCAGAGGTGAGGCGTTAGCCAGTAATGATGCTCCTGCTGTTGACTGTACAAAGAAAAGTAGTACTTCAACATTCAGAAGCTTTGAGTTGTGCCCTCTAGGGAGATAAAAACTGCTTACTGCTAAGTGTGCTCTGGTTAAAAAGGACATTAAGCTATTAACAGATATCCCCTTAGCCATGTAGGAGCAATTCCCACTGTTCACCTACTAAACAAGCACAAACATATGTCAGATTTACACATGCAAGATTCACCTCTTGTTTTTCTTGCCAGCTTTGCAGATGATTTCCTTTAAATTATCACACGTCTGAAGATCTTTAGAAGCACATTATTCCTCTCCTTTCCAAATACAGGTCTTAACACAATGCTAACTATATTTCTAAAGAGTCTAATTCAAAGCAAGAATTTCTGAAAACTCAAATCCATACTTAAGAGCCACCACACTTCAAGAGAAGTCAGGTTACCAGGATGCAGATATATATACATACAAATATATACATATCAATGTTTATACACAAACACACAAGTGCATAGAGGCAAAAGCAAGAGGTAAGAAATGAAAACTCTCTCCACCCCACATATGTCACAAGTTAAATTCACTTCAGTTTAAAAATGAAAATGCATGATTAACCAGAATATTTTAGATACAACTATTCCGAAATTACATTAATTCCTCTGAATTTAGAAACTGTTTGGTTTGTTCTTATTTAACAATCTTTCATTCACTAAACTTACAATAATTTCACAAAGTAATGTTCAGTTCTCAAATTAGCTATGAAAAAACAGTAAGTACAGAGAGAAGCATTTTGAATTAGACTCAAACTCACATATTTAGATGTTTGAGCTATCAAGATTCAGAGACTGAACAAGGCTCAAAATTTGTGCATTTGGACAAGTATGTCTTAACTAAACCCAAAACTTTTTTCCCTGGGTTGTGCAATATCAACTTACATCAATAGCAAAGTGATGAAAACTACTAAAAGAGAAACACTTTCAATTATCATTTGGTCTTAAGATGTTTACATGAAACTTGCTAAAGAAAGGTTAGTGCTGCTTGAGACAACATTTTAAAATCGTATCGTTGTGAACGCAAGTAAATAGAAAGCAGACTCTGATAAGAAATGTTTCTATTGGCTATGTTAGGAGTGACAGCTGCTAAGACTTCATTTCACAAGTAGAAAACTGTGGATGAAAACACTGTAAGAACATACATGTTTGGTCACTTTAGATGTATTAATTTCACACTAAGCCCGTGTACAACAAAATGGCAACTGTTCACTATGTAATCTTCACTGTTCAACAAAATAAAAGCCATGCAGCAATCTCTTACAGTTCTGCTTTTGTAAAAAACCTCAAACCAGAAAGGAGCTTTTTAGTGTGTTCTGTCAAGAACCTGTTTACCTGAGGGAAAGTACTCACAGAGAGTGCCATAAAGAAGCTGCAGTTGAAGTGCCATCTCAACTATGTTAGCACCTCAGTCATGTAAATTCGAGTCAGTAATACCCTTAGAAATCTAAGGGGTATTCTGCTCAAGTGTATGAATGATAGGTAGAGCTTCAGGAAATAAAATAATTGCTCAATCTCAAGTTATTTTGTCTTTATGTTCTCAAAATACAACATAACATACTTTGTTAAAATTTTGAGGAGCTATAGCAGGTGCAGGTTTATATCCAAGTTAGCAACTGTACCAATCAAGTGGGAAAGAAGGGAAATACTTGTTGGAAACTCTTCCTAGTTACAAACACCTTTTTGCCATCACATGAAATCATATTAGTTTGATCATCCATGCAAGTAGACCAGGATATTCTAAAAAGCAACTTCTGTACTATCCTCATCTGACAGATCAGTAGCATCTGATTTAAACAGGAATGAAATACCTAAACATTTAATGGAAATTCACTTTCAGTCTTTTGCAATGTATTAAGAAGGGTAACTAAGTTCTTACTACATATTACCCAGCAAGTCTTTAAGGCCAAACAAGTCCTATTATCACAAATCTTTCTTCCTTCAGTGTACTTTGACTGGGTAGTTATTTGATTATCATCTTCTCTTGAATATACTGCACTGACTGAGCCTCAGTCTGCACGGAAGGAACCCTTAGTGAATGTTTTAACCTCCTCTGAGAACTCTCTCGAAGTTTTTTACATTACCAAAGTACTTCTAAAGTGTCAAGAAAAAAAAAAAAAACATGTGAAGTCACAATTATTAACTTTGTAATACGTAATTCAGTTCCTCTAGCTGATTTCCTCCTTCTGTATGCCAGAACACTTTATTGTATTACAGTATGTACTCATGTTGATTATCCACATTCCCAGCAGCCTCTCTCTTCAACATCACTGTCTGCCAAGATGCATTTTTCATTATCCAAGTGATCAGTGTCTCTATAAAAATAATGATTTGCCTAAAACTGCACAAGGTTTGCAGAAACTGATCTCATAATTCACTACTCATTTCTTACGTCCATCAACTTTAAGAACGACTACAACCATTCCGCAGTTTCTTCCACACCACAACAACTGAATCTAGTGGATATTGTGGATTCCACCAAAAAAATCATCCCCAGACCATACACTGCAGCCTTGTTTGTGTCCAGGCACTTTCTAGAGTACCTAAATTGCACCACATTTAAGCTTAGCTCTTCTCTAAACTGCTTGTGGTACCTCTGTGGACCTTATACAGGGCATGTATGGCTGGGTTTTCTCTTTTTTCCTCCATTCAGAGTACCCAAAAATAAGGAGAAGGCTGTATCAGAATCTGTCAAACACCCCATTTGCTCCAAGGTATGGCAGGGTAAAAGACCACAGAAATACCTCATATAAATCGTTTTCTTCTTTTTCAGCCGCATTAAGAAAAAATAACGGGCTAAAAGATTATTATAAAGCATTCTGAAAACCTGAGTACGTACCACTGCCATGCAATAGCTATGTACATCATTCAGAAAAATGCATCATTTTTCTAGCTTGCTATAGACTAAGACTTTAATTTACATTGATATCATCTTTCTCAACTTAAGTTGCATAGACTTCACAATAGAGAGAGCACTATAAAAAGAGAGGAATACTTCAAATCATCTCAGTAATTAAATTACTCCCAGTAAGAAGAATGCATAAAGTAGGTTGTTTTCTGGGCAAATAATATGTTTGCATGGGTTTTAGAAGATTGTATTTTCAAAACATTCGTATTATACGCCTTCTTTTTTTAATCTCCAGTGTAGAAGTTTTGCACAAGTTCTCTCAGGTCTTTTCTATTATCTTTACATGTAGATAAACCTCAAGTTCAGTTTGATTAGATCCTACAAAGTGAAATACATATTTAATAATCACAAATGCTTAAAAAGGTTCTACATTGTTAAATACATGCCTTGCATTATAGTCTAACCACAAACAACTGAACTCCAGCTTTGTAAACCAATCACAAGGCTTGTCTAAGAGGCTTTTTATATAAGCATTCTTTACAGGTAAGTAGGCAACAATACAGAAATTCAATAATGCAAGGCAATACTGCACACCCTGAAAATATGGCCGTACAAAGCTCACCTTTTATATGGCTCTCTTAAAGAAAGATAAATTATTTCTTACTGCAGACCAACTGTTTTTTTACTGAGGATTCCTTCCATCCCATCCCTGAATTTTACATCAGTTGGAAATACCTATTCACTGTTGTGAAAGTGCTTCATCCATATCAGCATTTACACTTAGTGAAGTGTCAGCATTAAGTTTACGATTCATTTTCAAAACAAGATATTGTAAGAAAGAATGTTTACAACGTGTGATAAATATTAATGTCAGATTTAAATGTAAACTCAGATGCATACCTGCACACTGGCTGCTACAACTGGAGACCCTGAGGCAGAAGATGGTCTGTGTGGAGTTGACAATTGTTTAGTAGCACCCTGTGTTCCACTTCCTGCTCCCCCAGACAGACTAGTCCTACTAGCTCCACTTGAGTTAAGGTTACTGCCTCTGCTGGCAGGTACATTCATTCCAACTCCACCCAAATTAGTTTTACCAACAGTTCCAGAAGGAGAAGAGTTGGGTAATTTTGAAGAAGCCTGAGGGTTCTTTGCAGGCTGAAGGCCTGAGGTGCGATTAGAGGGCAGCAAATTCATTGTGGGAGACTGCCTGCTGATATTTACACCACTGGTCTGTTTATGTAGGGGAGTGTTGCTGGAGTGACTACTCTGGGAAACTAGTGCACTTGAACTGGAAGAACTGGGTGTTGCTGCAGGCCTGGGGGATGAGGTGGACTTAGATGAAAACTTAGGGGATGCATTGGGCTTAGGTGTCACAGAGGGCTTTGATGCAGTGGGCTTGGGAGAGGCAGCAGGTTTGGGAGAGGCAGCCATGGAGAAGGGAGGCTTGAAACCCTGGGAAGAAACCTGCGACACCATAGCCTTGGCTAAATAGTTACTAGAGGTAGAGGTGCTGGATGTTGTCCGAGAAACCAGTGGGTGAGATACTTGAGAGCCACTTCCAGATGAGGGATTAGACAAAGGCAGGCGATACACTACAGACTTCTCTTGAGCTTTGATGACTGGCGATGAGCAAGACAGTTTGGGATTACTGCTCAACTTCACCACTGGATTGGTCTGTGATTTACTAATAGTTGCTTGTAAAGGAGATACATATTTCTGCTGTACAGCTGAATGCTGGTGCACCTTTGTCATCTGTGATGCTGAAGAACCACCCTGAACTTCAGAAGATGATACCAAGATGTTAGCATCCTTGGGTCTTTGAGAGGTGGTAGAAATAGCTGCTTGGGTTTTAGAGGAAGAAACATGAGTCTGTGAAGAAGCAGCAGCAGCTTGGATCTGGCTTGACCTCTGTAGTCCTTGCTGAAGTAGCTTGGCTGGCAAAGGCTCTAAGGAAACTTTAGGATTTTGAATTGAAGATCCAGCAATAAGGCCTGAAGAAATACCAGTGTGAACTAAGTCCTGGGGTTTCTTTGGTACTGGCCCTGTGTGACCAGCAATAAGACTTGATGAGTGGGGTGTCTGAGCGGGCTCTACTTTCTTAGAAGTTGCCAAAGGCAACTTACTCATAATGCTTGCCAGTTTCTCTTCCCTCAGCCCAGGGCGAGGTCTAGATGTTGGTGTCTCTATAGCAGACCCAAGAGGAGATCCCTTGGCACCATTATTGATAACTGCAAGAGCATCAGAAATAGAGTCCAGTGAGGGCGGGTGGAAAGAAAGGTCTTCATCCAGTGAGTCGTCCAAGCAGATAGTCTCTGGAGCTGGTGTGCAGCTAGAGCTGGATGGGGTGCAGACAGGTGCACCGGCACTCAATGCAGTAACACAACTTGAATTAACTGAAGATATACAGGTTTTCTGTTCTTTCTTTGGACTAGAGTCCTAAGAACAAAAAAAAACAAGTAAAAGAAAAGTTTAACAGCCTTTCTAGAGTAGATTCAAAGTCTTCTTTAGTTTAATACTATTATTCTATACATTCAGAGGAACCTAAAATCTACTACTGAAGTTTTCACATTAGGATATCTATGATATACTGATGCTTTGTGTGTGAATTTAATATTTATATTTTAAAATCTCACACTGTTGCTTTACAAGGTTAAGAACAATCTATGCTGCAATGCTAATTTGATCACTGGGTAGAAATTGCTAGAACCTTAATAGAACTATTACCTTCTTCATAATCAATTTTCAAAAAGCTATATAGCTTAATATTATGAAGCTATGCAGATAATCTCTTGTATTTTATGGTTTAAAACCCATATGATTACCAGACAATAAGCTCTAACAGCATTTCCTTAAGGTAGGATTTTCTGATTGAACCCTTTTGACAGATTTTTTTCTGGATCAGAGGCAGAAAACTGGCTGTACCAAAAGGTCATATAGAAATCAGATATGTAAAAAGGCATTTACCTTCACTTTGGCTTTAGGTGCCAGAATCACTTTCTTCTTTGCCCTAAAGCAAGGGAAATAAACACACGTCAGAAGACAGAAAGGCAAACAGTTTTAGTGCCACCCTGATTATATCCCAATAAGCTAAGAGGATGACTACTTGGCTCCAGCTTTTTTAATAGAGCACTCTTAAAATAGAAAATCTCTAAAAACATACTTGGGGAAAGAACAAGAATATCTTTGAACTACTGTTGTTGCCTTTGTATGTAAATTAGATGCAAAACTCACTGAATTACTGATATAACCTGATGTATATCAACTTAAGAGATTTTTTTTTGTAATTTTTCAATTCAGGGCATTTCAGTTCCTCACAATCTCAGGAGCTTCTTTCAGCAGAGCTTTATCTAAATGAAAATCACCAATAAAGGATAAAGGTTATGAAATTTCACTTTTTATTGCTGAGTTGTTTATTTTTGTCACCAAAGCAGTAGTATACTTTATGTTCCCATTTGTATTTCAAATCACAAAACCAGTTCTTTTCTCCTCCAAGGCTTTCATTGCTTGTCCACTGTGAAATAGTTCTAACTACTTTTTGTTGCAATGAGCCATTTAACGAGCTCTTAGGTGTTTTATTTTTTTTTATATTATTATTATTATTATTTTTTTTCAGTGCAAATGGACATTGTAGCACCAATGGCAGTTTATGCATGCAAAGACAGTACTGAGGACTATCAGTTGCCTGCTTCAACGTTTCAAATTGTGTCTAATTCTGTTTCCTCAAAAAGATTAACAGATTAATGCTTCACAGCTCTTATTCTCCTATTCTAAGCAACTATAAAAAAAAATTGTAGGTGGACTCTGACTCAGTTTTGCCATTAACACTGTATGTTTTCTACGTAATCATATATATTATGAGAGTTATCGTTTGGTAGTATTCAAAGCCATAATTGGTTGAGCTCTTACTGAATGAGGGCTGAACTCCCAAGAAGGACACAGCACTGCCAGAAAATGCTGAAAGTAAAGTTTCACTAAGATACAAAACCTACTGTGACTACAAAGATTTATGAGGAAAAGAGCAAAAATTACTGGACACAATATACTATGCTACACTGCTGGGTAGAGGGCTTTGGAATAATTTAAGGAAAAAGTGTTAGTCCACAAATATCCACATAAGTCATTTGGCCACTTCAAAACCAAGTTAGAACATTCTTGTGATACTGTATTTCAAGTGTAAACCTAAATTAAACAATCAAACATTTATGAACATTGTCTTCAAACAAATCCCAAAATATCTCCCTTCTCTCCCCAAAAGAGGTAGCATAAAGAAATACTATGTACTGAAGCTGTTAATGAGCTGTCAATACTCACGGAGCAGAAGTGAGATGATTGTGAACACTCCGGCTTTCCTTAAAAAGCATCCTGCAAGAGTAGTGAGAAAAGAAACATAAGATGATTCTATAGGGACAGACAGAACATGACCAGCTAATTCTCAAGTACCTTTGTATTCTCAGAGAAATCTTTTGTTATTGGTTTCTAAAGCAGTTGGTTGGTAGGTTTTATCTGTACTGCTATCAAAATGCAGTTGCTGGCAGCCATACAAAAACAAATGCTAAATAAAAAAATGGTTATGTTTATATTCAAAATACTTCGTTCAATGGCCAAGCAGAAGTGTACTGGAATAATGGAGTGCTATGCCCTCCAGCAGGAAAGAAGTCCTGACTTGTCAGATCTCAAAAGCTAGCAGACTACTTCAAATATCAAATAAAGGATTATTTTAAACTCTTCTCATTGCACGTCCACAAATTGATCACAGGTATGAGTTTTGTATTTGCTTTTTTTTTTTTTTTAATGCTTTTTTTTTTTTTTTTTTTTTTTGTTTGTTTGTTTTAATGTAGAAAGAAGTCAGAACACAAGACAAGCTTGTGTCTATTAGCCTTCTGTACTTTGTACTGGCCATTGTGTCCCATTCCTGTGACTTCTGCATTTACTCTCATATTTTACCACAGTCATTGACACAGCTTCATGAAAGGTTAGAGTTGCTATGATAATCTTAACATTTTATGTGGTTTTATTCCCACATGATTGACTCCTGCTCAGTGAAGTGAGAACAATTCCTTCCCTGTACATGTGACTTAAATGCAGCTATAAACAGAGAGTTAACAAAAACTCCTTCCTCTTTGCTTCAGTGAACTAGACACTAGTTTTCCTACATCACTTCATCATGTTATCACTAACAACATGAACAGCTGTCTAAACAAGAGCTTTTCACCACTGAAAACATCCTGTAGCGCTGCAATGGTTATGAAAAATCCAAGTATCCACAGATCTCATGCAATCTGGCAAGAAGGCATTAACACAATCTTGTTACATTTCCAATGGCTTATTTTTCACATTCAGTTTTCACATTTCATTCACCATACCAACCTCCAAATCTGTACAGCACCGTCTATGAAGAACATCAGGAAACAAAAGGAACATTCCCTATTCAATGCTTCAGTGACTTATCCAGCTTCTCCAGAGCATTTCTCCTCATGTCTCCTGCCTACTGCTTTGATTGCTCCTTGATCTTTTTCATTTTGGGGCATGAGAGACACCAGTAATTTGCAGTGTTATCCTTAAAGGCTCAAGACAAAGTTTAACTGCCTCTGTTAAAGAAGTCAAGGATCCAGTACAAATAAAGGCAGCAAGAACATGCTTAGAAAACAATTTGTCCATTGCATTTGTATATTTAGCTATAACAACTGATGAGAGAGGTCAGTATGACATTGCCTCTCTGACATGACTTCAACTGTACTGCTTGACCTGTGAGAAATAAGTGTGCTGCAAGACTACTTGCAAGACCATCCCTCAGAAGATGAAACTTTGGGAATTCCAAGAAAGACTTCCTGATCTTTTTGCTTCCTTTAAGCATGCATATATTTATATTACAGGCATTTTTAAAAGGACATGGAATTAGCATGCAATCCATTTACAAACAAATTAGTTACATTATCACAGAATCACCAAGGTTGGAAAAGATCTCTAAGATTATCCAGTCCAACTGTTCAGCTATCAGCAACATCTCCCACTAAATAATGTCCCTTGGTACCACATTTAAGTGTTTCTTGAACACCGCCAGGGTCAGTGACCCCGCTGCCCCCCCAGGCATCCTATTCCAGTGCCTGACCAGTCTTTCAGAGAAGCTTTTCCAACATCCAACCTTAACCTGTCCTGGCACAACTTGAGGTCATTCCCTTTAGTCCTATTGCTAGTTATGTGGGAGAAGAGACTGACCCCCACCTCACCACAACCTCCCTTCAGGTAGTAGAGAGCGATAACATCTCCCCTGTACCTTCTTTTCTCCAGACTGAACAATCCCAGTTCTCTCAGCCACTCCCCATAAGTCTTGTGCTCCAGACCACTCGCAGCTCTGTTGCCCTCCTTCTGACACACTCCAGGGCCTCTGTCTTTTGTGTAGTGAGGGGCCCAAACTGAACACCGTACTCAAGGTGTGGCTTCACCAGAGCTGAGTACAGGGGGATGATCTCTTCCCTGTTCCTGCTGGCAACACTATTTGTGATACAAGCCAGGATGCCGCTGACCTTCTTGGCCACACTGTTGGCTCATGTCCAGCCATGCACTGATCAATATCCCCATGTCTGTTTCCTCTACACAGTCTTCCAGCCACTCTGCCCCAGGCCTGTAGCATTGCCTGGGGTTACTGCAGCCAAAGTGCAGGACTCAGAACTTGGTCTTGTTGAACTTCACAGAATCATAGAATCACAAGGTTGGAAACGAGCTGTAAGATCATCTACTCCAACCGTCTTCTCATTACCACTGCTACCACAAGCACTGTCTTGCAGCTCTTCATCCAGACACCTCTTAAACACTGTCAGGGATGGCAACTCCACCACCTTCCTGGGCATCCATTCCAGTTCCTGACCACTCTCTGAGAGAAAAAGTTCTTCCTCATGTCTAAACTTCATCCCACTGGCCTCAGCACAGCTATCTAGATCACTCTGTAGGGCTTTCCTACTCCTTGCCAGATTGACAGTTCCTCCCAACTTGTATCATCTGCACATTTACTGAAGGTGCACTCAGACCCCTCATCCAGTTCATCAATAAAGGTACTGACACACCATTCATAACCAGTCACCATTCACCACTACTCTCTGGGCCTGGCCATCCAGCCAGTTCTTTACCCAGCAAAGAGGGTACATGTCCATGCCATGGGCCAACAGCTTCTCCAAAAGAATACTGTAGGAGACAGTGTCAAAGGCTTTGCTAAAGTCTAGGCAGACTACATCAACATTATGTGAAAAGGTTCTGAAGTCCTTAAGAATAAAAAGAATTTCTCTAAATCCATGAATATCTGTAAAACAGTCTCATCAGGTAGAGAATGGAAATTTTACACATAGAAAAATAATATGAGAAAGAACCACCATAGTTACGACACACGTCAACAGATGAACATGGTACAGTTTAAAGTTGTCTTTGATACCTTACCTCATACTTCTACTATGAACAATGGGGAACATATGAGGGCTGCTCCGAAACCAATGTTCCTTGTTACACCATGCTGGCTCATGATACTAGAGGCAGATGCCGTTGTACCAGCAGTAGAAGCTGAACCGTCCCACCAACATTCTGTTACATGTTGCTGCCATGTGGCAGGTGGCAGCAGGGAGACAGGCTGACAAAATGATGTCTGATACAGAAGTGTCTATGAAGCAAAGGTGTGTCACTGAATTCCTCCATGCAGAAAAAACTGCACCCACTGACATTCATAGATACTTGCTGAACATTTATGGAGACCAAACAATGGATGTGAGCATGGTGAGGCAGTGGGTGGTGTGTTTCAGGAGTGACAACACCAACATGAAGGACTAACCACATTCTGGATGGTCATGCCCAGCTGTCACACCACAAAATGAAGAACATCTTGATCAGCCCATCTGCACAAATTGGCAAATAGTGGTGACTATGTTGAAAAATACTGCTCTGTAGTTGCGAATTTGTTCCATCAAATAGAGTGATTGTGGTCTTTGCATCTGTTGTACTTTCCATGGAAATGAATAGGAGGCATTACTTTCAGAGCAAACTACTTAATACAGTTGACTTTGCAAATTAAAAATTTTCCTTCATTTTAAGCCCACAAAATTCTATGCTATAGCCCTACTCTGATTAATAATCATTCTTTATAAAATACATAGTAGGTCATTGTTAACATGACATACCTTCCCCCTACCTATTTTATATAGCTCCTTCTCACTCAAGGCCAGATATAAAGATTCAAAAATATTAAAACTTCAGCATGAGAATCCCTATCCCAACATCTCAGATGTTCATCCAGCATATGAACTAGAGATGCTGCATTATGAACTGTTACTGAATGCTACAAGAAATATTTGCTTTTCCTTTTTCCATGCATAACTGCCCAGAAAGGCAGTGGAAAGGTCATCTGAACATGATCCTGGGCTCTAGCTTGTCCAATCCGAGGAGGAGAGTTGTACAAAATGAGCACCATAAGTCCTTTCTAAACTCAGCCATTTCATGAAAGCAACTTCAATTTTAGAAGGTAAAAGTCATTCTGCGTGGATATACGTATATACATAAGGATATGAACACACATTATGCAAACACTTATTTTAACCTTATCAGAAGCCACTGTAAGAGCTTGTGCACTGGGTGCACACCACACACATCCTTGTTGTTTTTTATTTTTTATTTTTCTTGAGAACTGAAAATAAAAGCAGTCGTTTTGCTTTCCGTGGCATATATGGACACGCAACTTTCTGACAGAAGAACTGAAAGCGATGATACAATCTGTTCCAGTTCTAACCATTATGCTTAATACGTTTTAACAAGATGGCTGACATTTGTGCTTTGAGACTGGTGCAGTTCAGTCACTGTCTGTGGCAGCCTATTTAGGCAGCAAGATAAAGATTTCAAATAACAGAAAGTACTTTCCTGGAATTAAGATTTTATCATTATGATCAAAGTAGGGAATATCACAGAATCACAGAATTGTAGGGGTTGGAAGGGACCTCCAGAGATCATCGAGACCAACCCCCCTGCCAAAGCAGGTTCCCTACAGCAGGTCGCACAGGCAGGTGTCCAGGTGAGACTTGAACATCTCCAGAGAAGGAGACTCCACCACCTCCCTGGGCAGCCTGTTCCAGCACTCTGTCACCCTCACTGTAAAGAAGTTCTTGCGCACATTCGTGTGGAACTTCCTGTGCTCCAGAATACATACATACATACAAAGATTGAAAACTAGAAGTAGTACCTCCTTCAGACATCAAGCAGAATCATGAAGGTAATATGCAAATTACATTTAGATGTAAAAAAAATCAATGACCAGTGTTCAAAGCAATCCTTCAATTCAAATACAGCAAAAACAGTATGTAAACACAAAAATTATGGTATCCAAACAGCACAATTGGTGAACTGAATTAACTCTTGCTGGTAACTCTTGCTGGTGTTAAGGCAGCTCTTGTGTTTCCTGTTGTTTTTGTTTGTTTGGGAGGGGTGACAGTTTATTTGTTTTATTACTGAAACCACTTTTACAGTTGGTTTAAAACCTTATGAAACTCTACAGCACACTTATTCCATGAATAGGAGAGAACCATTTATGGCTTTCAAATTAACAATTCTGACACGCTTCACTGTATTCTGGGATGACCTCACACTATCATCTGACTGCTTCACTACTATCACCACTGATCTCCCTGTATCTTGTCCTGATCTAAAGCAGGATTCCACATCTCAACTAAATAAAATCTCCAGAACAGATGACTTCTCACCAGTATATTTATCAGTAAATTTAGCACATCAAGCTAAACTCCTGAGCAGAAATAAAACAGCTGTATGCCACGGAGTGTAAGATTTCGTTTGTTCCTTCCAGCGGTACTTAACCAGCAGCTTATTGCACCCTTATCTTCTACACTGACTATTCTACAAAACATCTAAGTAGTTTTCACAACTCAATGCTGATTTGACTAACCTGCAATTAAAGTATTACTCAGCAAATCTGTTAGCATTGTTCTATTACTTAGCTTTGAAAATTAGGTCAAGATTTGAGGGAAGATTGTCTTCTGCAATGTGTGCTTCAGAAGGAAAGAACATGGCATCTGCGTTTGTTTCTCTTCTTGCGCTTCGCAATGCCTGAGAACTTTATCAAATTTGTATCTGACATTAACTGGTACTGCTCTCATTTCATTTCTATCCCTTTGCATCGTTGTTCTCTCAAGTCAGTATGGATCAAGAGATAGGTATATTTTGAATTGCATCATCACAAAGCATCCCAATAACATACAAGAAATAAGAGCACAACAACTTAAGTGTCTTCTAAAAATCTGATGTTGAAATTCTGACTTATCAAGTTTTTGTAACACTGCTTCATCAGACTGCTTAAAACATACAGGCAACACTGCTTTCTCTATCATTTTACGTCAAAGGTAAAGCTTCCCAAACAGTTATTCTTTCTTCTCTCAATATTTCTCCAGAAAAAGGAGCATCAGGGACTACAAACTTCAGCAAATACAGTTTCCAGCAGATGACAAAAGTAAACAGATCTCCAAGGAAAAAAAAAAAATCTTTGCAAGACTGGGAGCTTAAAAAAAAAAAATAGAAACTTCATTTCTAAAGAAACTCATTCTTTTAAAATATGCCAGTTCCATGGACAATTTTGAAGTATTAAAAATACACTTTTGAGTTAAATCCATCACAATAAATAAGGTTCAGGTAAGGTTCAGGTTAAGGTAAAATAACATCAAAAGGAATAGATATAAAAAGCAGGTATCTTACCTTGCCTGCATCCAGCCTTTAGGCCAAAGTGGTTTCACTTCTGTTTCCATAAAGGTTTTGAGGTAATCTTCAGCAGACTGACTTCTGTTTGGCTCTAGCTCATAGCATCCTAGCTTGATCTTGACAAGATTACACAACAAAGATCTGCAGAAGAGAATACAATGAATATGTTGAACCCAACGTTTCAAAAGCTCAGCACAAATAGAATGAGGAACACTGATACTGTACAGCTGCTGTTCATTGACAAGCAATTTTTTTTCTATAGAAACAACTTCAATTAAAAAAAAATCAAGGATCACAGAAGTTGCTACAACTGTTCTCCCGCTCTCAGCACACCAATTGCTCATTTCTTCTATCATTTTGTAATTAGTTTTACATCTTTGTTTCCTCATAACTGAAAAATCTTCTCTCACTTTGCTCACAATAATCTTGATTGCATTTAAGACAGATAATGTCTGAAGGCATGTGAAATCTATTCCACCCTGAATTATTATTTCAACAGAACGCTTTCTGACATGGATACTGTCCTTAAAAATATAGAAGTGGACGGAGCTAAGTAACATTGACTCTTCTGAGCCTCATGAAATAAAAAACAGATTAAAATTCTCATTTTTAAGTATCCCTTCAAGTACCCTGGTTAAACCACAGCACCAGATCAGCTAGAGCTGTATTTATATATATGTAAAGCAGCATATATAATACAAAACGTACCCATAAAAACATATAGTATACATAATATATTCCATGAAACTTGCTTCCCTGTTATCTTAACATAATATAGATTAAAAAAAAGATTCAAAGTGAGAAGTTCAACAGCCCCCTTTAATAGTATTTATACCTGTTCAAAAATCAATTTAGAACTTGCATAAGCAAGTAAATTAGAGGGATCTGTCTGGTTAAAAGCCTGTTATTCTTCAAATAATCTAAATAATCTAATTTTTCAGTAAAAGCTACTCTGGGAAACAGAAAGGAGAATTCAGCCTTTCAGATGAGTGTGTTGTTCTTAAGAGATTACAGAATTTGTGTTCTAAAGTGACAGGATGGGTTAAGATTCACACAGTGTGGATGCTGGCTTTCCCAAGGACTGGGAAACTTGCCCAAACAGCACACCCGATTTTGGCTCTCTGTTCTATTGTAGCCCAAGTTTTACCACTTGCTGTGTGACAGCTTTTTGTGACACCTCCAGAATGGTGGAATAAGCAGGTGCAACTCTGCTTATACCTCTATTCTTTGCTTCAAAAAGCCCATGGTTCTGTGTCCAGGAAAATTCTGCTGTGTTTGGATAAAGTACATGAGCAAGCAATGAAAAAAGGGTTGGGCAGGGGATGATCTTGCCTTTCAAGTTAAAGAAAAGCATGTTTACAGTGCAGCATTTTAGCCTGCCTATTTTGCCTCTTAGCATTTCCCCAAACTTTTAAAAAGATGTACTTCTGATCATGATTATTTATTAAACAATGCTATGTAACAACACTCTCTGCCAAGACTTTAACACGAGATCAGGAAAAAAATCTTGGTGGAAAACGTAGTTTCTCACCTTACTGTGTCATCCCAATGAAACTTCTTTCTGGGCCCCACAACCCTCTTCCCAGGTTTCTCATCATCATCTTCCTCTGATCCATTTTTCTCTCGTTCATCTTCTGTTTGCAACCTACATTTAAAACAGTTGCTTTCTTTATAGATATACAACATTTAAAATGTTTCATTGAAGAAGCACTGTGTTAGACGTTAAGTAAAAAAAGGGATCTATCTTCACACTCTAGCTATACCCTCCCCAAAAGGGCAAACAATTTATCTACCCCCACACCTCACTGCTTCACAATCCTCCAATACAAGTGAAGACGACACACTGTATGGATCCCACCAAGCATGCTGACTCTAAGTTTAATGTAGTGCTTTCTCCTGGGAAATGCAGAGATGCTGATCAATGTGCTAATGCTTCTCTGAGACTAAATCAGTTAACTGTGCAGGAAACAACTAAAATATAAAAAAACAGAAGAATCATGAAAATAGGAGCATGTGTTCAAATTCATTAGCCCAGCACATTGGTTATGCCCAGTCTCCTCACAATTCACAATTTCTTTCTTTCAAAATCTATTTCATTCAGTTAATGAAATTTCTTTCTGAAGTCAGGTGATGACATCACTGAAACAATACCATATACTTCGTACAACTCAGCTAGAGCTTAATGCTTTGCTGAGCTCAGAGAATGAAGGACACTGAGGCATGCTGACAGGTAAACTCTAAAATGTGAACATGCAGATCCCAGAAATACTTACTTGGCATTCTTAGCTAGGTTACGGGCCTGACAATCCTCTTGATATTTGCATAACTGTTCAGGCATGACGTTACTGACAGCTAGTTTCAACTTCTGCAGTGGTTCTCTCAAGCGGTCATCCTGCCATAAAAGAAACACCAAATTAGTCCTATCAGATGCAATATAAAAATAACTTAAGATAATTTCTCTGAAATTGTTTCTTTCACACTCCCAATAGGCTACACTGTTGCACAGAACAGGATTCAAGCATCACATAGAAAGTACTGCTGCAGGCAATAGTTGACACTGGAAATACTAATGCATGCATTTGAAATTTCTCATACAATTAATGTAGTCTTGAGACCAGAAACGATGAAAGATAGTCACAAGGAAACAAGTCATGAACATCCCAAAACATTGTAACAATCTCATTTAATAATCCTTCCAAATCAAAATATGGAATAAAACCTCGGGAAAAAGCAAAATGACTTGACTGATGAACACTTATATTTTTTAAAAAGTATATGATGAATGAAGTCTCCAAAAACTCCGTAGTATATCTTCAGTAATGATCAAAATCTATGTATTCAATTGCCTATGTATTAGATTATTACTAGAAGTAATTTTTTTATGTGCCTGAAAGGCAAGGACTATGAATTTAAATTAGTCTCCAGATATTAAGAATTTCAAAAATTAAATTGAAATAAAAATACGTACTTCCTTGCATTTAAAATTCTTTTCCATACCTTGAAACATTCTGGTTGGAAGCAGATTATATTTAAGGTCCCTTCCAACACAAACCATTCTATGATTCTATAATCTTCCAACTTTGTGTTCTCAGTCCTGTTTTATATCTTATATTATATCTTAAAGCTTAGTATAGAAATAGCATACGAAATTGATTTCCTACTCAGCAGGTTCTGAATTCTCACATCCTCAGATCCTCTGCAAGATCTAGCTCTAAAGCTCACCTAAAGACCCACGTAAAGACCCTTCAGACCATAGAAACCTTTTTAATTCAAAATAAATACACACTCTTTAAGAGGAAGGAAGCTGCAAATGAAGCAAAGTACTTGTAAGACTTAAAAGCAGCATACATGCACAAATAATACAGGCTGGTCATCTATAATCCATATACTCATTTTTTTTCCTGACACAAAAATGAACGCAACAGTAATTTTTAGTCTGTCATAACCACAGTGATTGTGACTCTCTAGTTCTCTTGCTCTTGATCTACTCTGTAAAACTATCCAGCTTTCAATACAAAAGCATTTAATTCCCAAAATAGGAAAATCTAAAATACTTAAAATATTTGTCCTTAAAGTAGTGACCAGAGCAGACAAAAAAGCATTCATGCTGATCTAGCAATAGATACAGAATCTTTTCCTTTACTTGTGACAATGGCTGTTGCTCTACCCTGCTGCATTCTATCCCTACTGTTACATATTCGAGTCACACTGGAGCTACTCTCCCCCCCGTTACCTGGACATTGAGGTGTAACTTCTTCAGACGCTTTATCAGTGTGTCCTTATTGCATGGCACAAAAGCCTCAAGGTGAGAGTACACTCCATTGCGGATGGCAGGATTTATCTCCTGTAACTGTAGCTCAATACTGACAAACAAACAAGAGACAGCCAACCAGTGAGGTACTCCAAGATGAAGATGACAACTGAACAAAAACCTAATGAAGCTTCGTATGCATAACATTCTAGCTATGCATACTTCAAATAGCAGCCTGGGATATATTGTCAGATTTGTTAAACGACCTTTTCAGAAAAAAAGTAGTCTTAATGGTAAGAAACCATTCCAAAAAAAGACTTTCAGATGTATACTTCCCCAGCAACATTGAATGCTGCTATCCGAATTTTTTTTTACTCCTGCGGTTTCACATCAATATTGGTAACATTTTGGCTGCTGGTCTTCTAGAGATTACTTCTTTTTATTACTTAATATTACTAAAGACATAAACCCTGTATGTTAAATGCTTAGCTGAAGGATTATAGAATAGGAAGAGTCAGCATTTTTCTTCATGAAAGCTAAAGGTGTTTTGATTTATGAAGATGTGGGACAGCAAGAAAAAAATGGCAAATTTGTTGAATTTTACACATGAAGTCAAGGACACAGGGCACTACAAAACACTTTACAGTGGAGAAAGACAGACAGATAGTCATGACAGGAATTGTATCATATATAAGTCTCTTTACCTAATCACTAGCTCAGACTGATCTACCTTCATTGACTTTTAAGGGCTTTGTTGGAACAAACTCAACAATACTTCCTCTTCTGTACTTTTCCTTTCACCCCATTTCCAAAAAGGAAAGGTTGTACAGATAAGCACTTACTCCAGCAGAATATTATTCATGTCTTGTGTGAAAAACTTCTTCCTGCCTTCCTCATCAAACATCTTGGCAGCCTGAAAATACAGCAAAAAAGAATATTCAGAAGTTCACAGATGTCATTTTAATCTCAACGTTTGCAGCTTTACTTTTACAGCTATATCATACTCTTATTTTTTAGTGAACAGCATTGCTAGGGAAAAAAAATCCACTATTCTTAACTACTTAGAAAAGGTGCAGATTACAATCGTACTCAAATTACTCTTTGTTCTAGTGCACACAATCACTCTATTTAGAATCTGCCTGGATTGCTGATGCTTTTTCAATAACCCTAAAAAAAACACACAAGGAGTGCAGTTTTATTATCTCAGTAGTACTGATGGCTTAAAAAAAAGCAGCATTGCTTGATGCTCCTGCCTGTATGACTTGTCAACACATCACCATCGTCCAAGTATAAAAGGCCTAGTTTCTTCCTCTGTTTATGTACCTTGCCCAGTGACAGTTTTCTAGCCTTTCTTGGATCCATCTCAACCCTTCCATGTGATTTCTACAACGGAACTGTGTATGCTATGAATAAGTCTCATCCCCATTTTCTGGTGCTGTTGAGCATTGTCTCCAACTTTTGACTTGGGGCGTGAAAACAGGAAAATCTTCTCTACTAGCTCTTTAATATTTTTGTCTGGGAAGGAAGGAAAAAAGCAAGATAACTCATGTGTGCATTTCCTTTCATTAGAAGTTTTTCTTAGTCTCTCAGGAACGCCTGTGTAGAATTCCTTTATCCTTGTTTCTTTCGCCTTGATTCTTACTGTCCACAAACTATGGCAGCCACAAAAATGCCAACTCAATTCCCTGCACTGTTCAACAAAAACAAAAAGACAAAAAAAATCAGTAAAAACTCTCTACTCTTCCATTCTAAAGATCTATGGAAGTTAAGAGAAAAAAAACAAAAAACAATTTGCAACGCTTACTGTCTTGAGACATTCTAGCAATGGGACCTGAGAGTGAATATCTGAAGAAGCTGAAAAAGTACATCCTTACAGAAATTTACGTAAAGACGTTATCATCATCCTGTCTGACAAATACTGTGGGCAGTCAACATGCTATGTGGCTAGCAGCCTAATGAGAAAAGCTCTAATTTGTCTTTAAAGAATTTTAGTTAGCAATTTCTGACAACATAGGTCAATATTATAAATAAATGCAAGTGTTAACTTGACAAAATTCCTTCATTACTATTAAATACTTACTGTTCTTCCTCTTTGTAAATGACCCACTTATGTTAGAAAAAATATTTTCTGAGATTGTGAACTCTACATTGCACAGTAAAATAGGAGTCTGTTACTCCATCAGAAACTGTAAAGCAGACAACTGTCTTTGATTGTTTACCATTTCAGTCATGAACATATACTGTAGGCTTTTTAGCTCCTGTAAGGACTGCACTCCACTCACTACCTCCTACTGTAAAGTCATCTGCTGAGGGGATGGCACTATCTGTTTTAAGATTACTGAAGCAGTTTCTCTGCTAAAAAACAAGAAAAGTTATAGATGTTTACAAGTGATAAGATACCAACAAGACAAGTTTGAAAGTCTTAGATCCAGTATCTTTAAGAATAATTAACACAAGGTTATTACCTTCTAGTCTATATAAAGTGGCAGGAAAGATGTTTTGACTTTCCAGTCCTGAGAGATCTGAGAACAATTTCACTGTTATGTTATCATACTTAACAGTGCTTCTGCTCTTTGAAAAGGATGAAATCAGCAGAGTCAAGAAACACTGCTATCAATGTTGGGATTTTTTGTTCCACAGACGGACTATCTTGACAGTTACCATCATAACAGAAAACAGGCATTTTATTACTTCCCTGCTTTGTGTGCAATATTGTCCTCTGCCACAGTAATTCAGAATTACACAATTAGGGAACTAGAAGACATTAATTTACGCAAGAAGATCAGGAAGCTTTCATTGTATATAGTCAGCAGCTTCCTAAATCTTTTTACTCTCTTGCCTAGATGTATCCTAACTCCATTCATGGAACATAGCTTACCTTTCTTTGCATTAAAGAGCACTAAATATGTGAACCTGATAAATGTCTGGAAAAAAACTGTAAAGGAGCTTTTTTTTTTTTTTTTACTCCTTTGTCACTGATAACATGTCAGTTGATGGCAATTTGTAGAAGGGAAGGAAGCTGCAGTCTTTAAGTCAATACACAGCCTATTCTTCCCCGAGTCTACATGTAGTACTGCTCTGCTCAGCCAGCACCAAACTTCCAGAAAACGTGACCACAAGTAGATGGCCATAGAATTAACTTTAATTCAGTTTTCTCTTGGAAAACCTCTCTTCCAACTGAATGGGGCTTTATAATGAAATAGCGTGAAGTAGGGACAGGCAGCTAACACTTCCTTAATTTTGGCCTAACCCAGTTCTACTGCTGTTTTGCTAGAAACTTACTGAAAAATTAACCTGAAAATTTGAAGGCTGACAATCCTCTCACTCACATTATTCATATTTAGCTATGGACATTTTAAAACAACTAAGAATATTCTATAATGTTTATATACAGCTAAGATTGAGTAAAGATACCTATGACGTTTAAGTAACAGCAAAGCAAGCTCTGCTGCTGTCTGTCACTATGTAGAAAACTGCAGTTTAACTACGACTATAAAACTTACTCTTGAGTAAGGAAAAGCTGCACTTTATTCTGAGTAAGGAAAAGCTGCACTTTATTCTGAGTAAGGAAAAACTGCACAGGTAAGATCAGAATCTGGACAATCAAATAACAATCTTCTTATCCACATTCACATAACATCCACAACTGAAACAAGGAGCATATAATACCTTAACAGCTCTGAGCCCTTTCAGTAAGCTGTGGGGATGTTTGTAAGCTGGGAACTTATCGTTTTTGGTTAATATTTTTTGAGACTCCACTGCAACATTTCAGAAAAAAACATTCAGTTCCCACCCCTGCACTCCCACCTTTTAAACTGGGAAGTTCACATAATTTGTGTTACAAACACAGAATTCCAGACTGAATTAGATTGTAAACTACAACAGTATTTCAAGGCTTCCTCTTTAAAACTGGTGGGGAAGCATAAACTCATAAATATTAATAATTTAAGTAACTAATTCAAGTAAAAATTAACAGTGATATTCCCATTACGGAATAAAACATTACAATTTGTTGAACATGTTAAGATTCAGTAGAAAAACTTGTCTTCACCGTGAAACAAACACCATCTCAACTATTGAGCTGCATCCCCTCTAGGTCCATTTTTATCTGAGTACAAATACAACCACCGATATTAATGCTACATTTTTAGCATTTCAACCAGCATTTCAAGGATGACAACTCAGATCCTAAATATTCTTCCTCCTTCTCTCAGATTCTTGACTGCAAGCCGTCACTACTGAGTTCATACTTACTGTTCGAAGATCTCCAATGCGCTTTTCAAGTAGCATAGGCAGACCTTCTGGGAGGGCAGGCACCTGCTTGGGTGTCATGACCTGAGAGGTGTAGGTTGCATGAGTGACATTTCCATTTTCTCCTGACAGCTCAGATACTGGGCTGCCATCAGAAGTGCCATCAAGCAACTTGTCAAAGTCAATGTCTCCCAACATCTCCAGGGCACTTTCAGTTTCTTGCAGGAGATCACGTTCATTTGTGCTACCAAAAATGGAGAGGACAGGATCGCTGATCTTAAGATTCAAGTCAGAGATATCATTTCCTGCACTGAGAGAGGAAGAAGGAATTTTACTAGGGGTAGAGGTCGCAATAGTCACTGGAGGTTTTGGACTAGATTCCTTCTTCCTCATGGCTTCCTTCTCCTTTTGAAATTTACGGATCATGGCAGCCAGAGAGAGCGAGTCTTTATAAAATTTCTTTTTCTTCTTTTCAGACTTGTGTGAATTTAAGGCCATTACTCTGTAGAGGAAAGAAATACTTCATCAGAATGGCACGTGGCTTTGTTAAAGGTAACTAAGGCCTTGAAAAAACTGGAAGTTTAGAACTTTTTAAAAAATTAGCAGATGGAAGCATGAAGATGGAAGCAAGCTTCAGACTCTTACCAGTTATCTCAAACTCCTGCTTGTCATACGATTTCACAATCTTCAACTGAAGCTCTGTTTTGTTGTTGTTTTTAACTATGTTACATATACCTCAAGAAAAAGTTCATTTACGCTACACTTCTCAACTGGAAGTTAGACTTACAGTTAGATTGACACTGCTAGAACACAAACTTGCCTATCAGACTCCAGAACAGTAGCAGGTTACTTAAAGTTTAGGCACACCACGTGTATGTAAAAAATTCATTCCAGTAAGTATTTTTACATGCAGACTCAACATTTACATGCCACTCAAACTGAACGTTTAACCCCCAGTCCTTGTCCTTGATTAAAAAAAAAAACAAAACAACCAACAGGTTTTCAATGCCAACTGAATATCTACAGTAAGACTATGTTCACTCAAGGACAGTTTTCCAGAAGCCAATTAAAAATCCTATCATCTTACAAGGCTATCACCCTTCCAACGCTAGCCTCAAAACACAGCAAAGTATACAAAAATTAGTAAGAAATATGTAGAATAATCAAGCTGCGTTTACAGCTTCCCAGAATAGAAATCTAGGGATAGGAAGCTGTTTTTCATTAGAAGGTAGAAAAAAAAGATGTAATTCTTACTATCAGAAAACTCTGGGTAGAAGAATGATTGTTAATACTATTCACAGATTCAAAATTTCTATATTTTCCATAATTCATTTTTTCTTTGATTTTTTCCCCCTTACTCTTATCCCCCAAAATTCTGAAAGTTAGCCTGGAGGATGTTTATGTAAAAAAAAACAAACTCAGAAACATCCCAGACCAAAATCTATTAACTATTAGACATGAGTTAACAATACAGAATCCTAAACAACTGTGATAATTTCACTATGGCACGAAAATCTCAGAAACATACTTTGTATACAATTCAACATTTTATTTAAAGGAAGAAACCTACCCCAACTGCTTAGGAACTTTCATTTTCCGAGGCTTCTTCTCCTTTTCCATCCCTTCATCTTTCCGCTTGCGCTTCTTCATTCCACGATCTTCACTTTCTTTTAACTTTGCTATCTACAAAACAAATTTAATACAGGACAAAGATTCTTCCATCAAAAAACATTTTTATAGCATGAAACATCTATTTTCCTTTACACTTTCCAGTTGGGAGCCAGAAAAAAATATCTTGATGTGTGTGAAGGCAAACAGTAAACTGGATTCACAGCAGCAATACCAGTTACTGATAATTCTCCAACACTACTTTTTTTGAGGCACAAGTAGACTGCCAAATAGCCTCTCTGTGTAGCAGCCACCTTGGAAGACCAAGTTCTTCATTCTTCTGCTACCACAGTCGCATTGCTAAGTACAGTGCAATATGGCACATCTTTCTGGCTATTCAGATCAGTGGTCTCCCCTCCAAACTTGGCCATCCCTAGCTTACTTCCTGAGGCTGACTGGGAAAGATGAATGGTGGAGGGAAAAGGTGGGGGTGGAAAGCTCTTCATACTGTTCTGTTGTTATGCAGCAACAGTCAAAACACTGCTGCCTTATCAGCACAGCAGCAAGTTACAAATACAAATCATAGCACCATAAGGGCTTGTATGAAAAAAATGTTCAGCACACAATACAGTATGCGTTTTGTGAAACATGCAGGATATACATACAGACATACACACACATCTTTTAACACGGCTATTTCTATGTTGTGAATTTATTTTAACAGACATTTTCTTTTAACTACTATTCTGAGTATGAAGAACATTTCAAATCCTATTTTCTACAGAATCAGAAAAGCAATGTTGAAAAAATTATGTTTTCATCTTAGGGAATAAAATTCTTATAAAATTAAGTAGTTATCTGTCACTTACTTACGATGGATGAACACAACTTGTAAGCCTGCCTGAACTGATTAGTTTTCCAAGACTGAACAGTCTGTGGGCATCTTGACTTATTTCCTAAGTGCTTATGCAACAGCCACAAAACAGAGACTGCAATAAGGCAGTACTGTGTATCACTCTGCTTTCAGTCTCTTCATCTACGGCATTTAAGCATACCAAACCTATTTTGATGCCCACTTCATTCATTGCCCACTGTATAAAAAGCATAATTAATACCACTCACTTTTGGTGGCCTATGCTTTTTGTCCTCTGCAAAGTCATCATCCTCTGAGTCGGATGCCTGGCGGAACTGCAGGGTACCAGTGTTGATATAAAACCCTCCGTATTTGGTTGTCAGGGATGCAGGAACCAATTCATCGTACTGGCATGAAAAAAAGTTTATCATCATCACTTCAAATGTTTATGTAGCTCATTTACCACTCCCTATACATGAATAACTATACAGAATTACATAAGTACTGCCTGCTAGCATAAATCAGGATAGTAATACTATTAAAAAGCTCACTGGACAGGGTACAGAATACTAATATCACAGAATCATCTCTGTACTTTCAAAATCACACCTTGATCTTGGAAGAAAAGATTACAACATTAAAAAAAGAAACAGCTCTGCTTTCTGAAGGAAGTGAAGACAGGCATGGAGGCCTTTTCTCCCTTTAGAGAGAGTATTTCCAACTTCCTATCTCTGACAGCATGCTACCTTATGTTAGAAGCTAAAATCTCATGATACATAAACTATATGGACAACTATGCACCACCTGCCCATGAGCAGTTTCACTGTTTACAAGTTGATTTTGTCCATGCAATAGGTAAGCATATTGTGAATTGTTTTTGCCTACAACAGCCTTACATCCATAGCAGCAACATCACCAATTTAAAACGCACTTTGTAAAAATACTGCCTCTACTGATTTCACATTGTGTCATACTTTCACTGAATATCCTTCAATCTTATCAGAGAATGCACAGTTCAAGCTAACGATGTTTTCTAATAACACTTCCTGTTACTCCAACATTTGTAACCGATCCTTTAGTTATCTGCAAGCGATAATTAAAAAGTTATTTTCAGAGCTCATTTTTTGCATGTTTTCAAAAAAACCAATCTGAACAGCCATCACTCTGCAAAGGAAGAAATCTAAACCATTTCAGAATTTTGCAAAGCTGCATATTGTTATACCCAGGCAATAGAACTGAAACAATAGACAAACTTGTTTTTGTAAAACAAGCATAAAGAACTTCCTGGATTATACACTTTGTTTAATGGAAATAGCCACAGCAATGCTCATCTTCTTCCTGATTAGTTTTCATTAATACAGGACTCTGCACTTGGCCTGCTCAGATTGTTCCAACAAACTTTCTATTCCTTAACAACTCACAGTACCTGCACAAAGAAACCCTTTTCTTACCAGGTTCTCTGTTCGTTTGCTAAAATTGCTGTGACACCTATTGTGAAAAGTATTTTCAAACATCTGTTAATTTCGGTGACACATTTTGTTAACAACAAATAGTGAAAAATCTAGGGTGGCGAGCTTGATCAACAACAAATAGAAGCAATAGCCTGTTTAGAGGCATAAAACCAAAATGCCTAAGTGATACAAAGTACCAAAAAGATACAATGACATTTAAATGACTGAGAATTGGTTTCTTCCCTTCTGAAGGGAAGGGTGTGAGATTTTGACGCATCTTAGAGGTATGTACTCTGGCATAAGAAAAACTCTACTCTGAGTTACAGCTGTAAACAATAAATGTTTACTAGCAAGACCAAACGATTAAGTAGGACAGTGAATAGGGAAACAATGTGTTTGCTATTTTGAATAGTGAGCCAGCAGGCCTTTCACTGCTTGCCTGCTAAGAGCTGATACATCCCAGAATTCAACAGGTTGAAAAAATTACTAGGGCAAGTACACACATTTTTAACTGCCACGCCAGTAACTGGAGATCTGAGATCACTCACAGGAAGGGAATACATGCAGGGCAACGCAGTCAGTTACCAGGTTAGTCCATTCCCCCTGCACAGATGTAATATATACTGAACGTATGTGTATATATATGTAATATATACTGAAGATACAACTGGAGACAGTTTAAGAACTACAAAATTTGCACCACCAAAAGCATGAAGACAGAAGAGTTATATTCTTAAGAGGAAAACAATTAACAAGCACTTAGACCAGTGCTTAGTAAGTTGCATGGAACAGCCTGAACTTGGAACTTTACATGGATTTGATCTGAGTAAGCAGTTAGAAATTTCACTGAGTCATCATCTTTATCTTCTTGGAATGGAAGGCTTAACATGCAGTACAAGAACACACACAAAAAAATAAAAGCAGTGACAGGATCTATGAAATACCCTGAGACTGCATGAAAGACTAGTGCAAGAAAACAGGAGACTATTAGACAAATTGAAAGCAAAGTGACTCAGTTATGGACTTGTCATTCACCTTAAAAGACCAGGACAATCATGCAAAGTGAACTGAAGAGTGGAGGCTGGGTAAAAGCTTCAGAGAAGCCTGATGCTTTTCCATAGGCCCTCAGAACCAGCTTCATTAAATACAAGGAGATGAAAGGGAAAGAAAATAAATGATTATCCACAGTAGTTAATAGACAGAGCAGGCATTTCCCTTTTAAGCTGACAGGGCGTGAACTGAATTGGTGAGGTTAGGGCTGTATGGGATCAAAACAGAAGTATAGAGTAGTTGCCAAGTTTAGAGGAGAAAGTACACAGTTAAAGCTGAGACTATTATCATAAGAAGTAAAGAACAAGAAAAGGGAAATACTGAGGAGACTTGGCTGCAGAGCAGTAAAGGAAGCCCTGGAGAACAAAGTAACAATTAAAGACAGTCCACAAGTGAGAAAACCATGAGTTACAGCAGGTGATTAGTATGATCGACATGACACACGGCACAAACTCATGAAAACAAATTGACCAGAAAGGCACACTTTATTCAATATAGCAAAGAACAGACTTCCATACAGTCAGCAGCAAACAATGTCAGCAAGATGGGGAAGTGCAGCTGATCACTTAAGGCTTCAACAGCTTCCCCCAAGGACTATGAATTTAGTCTGACTTCCAAAGACCTTTCTGACATTCAGATCTCCTTAACCCTGAATGGAATTTCATTTTTCCCCAATAAAATTTGTTTTGTCCTCAGCCTGCTCAATAAGGAATAAATCTAAAACCGAGTTCTACAAACTAAAGCATAACTAGTGTCTCTCATCCTCCAACGTAAGCTCACTGCTGACTAGTGCTCTAATCCAACATAAAACTTGAATAAGATATTATAACATACTGGCACCAGCTGGATTCAGCTTAACTTTGAAGTTCCTCCAGGACACTCAGAAGGCATACACCTCTTGCAACTTCTGAATCTTTCAATGAAGCCTTTTCAAGATTTTGCTTTTCGTTAGCTTTTTCTGCATATCGAATCAGAGCTCCTGTCTAATTCTATTATTGAAGGAAATCTGTTAAACTCCTTTACAATGCTCTAATCTTCCTTATACATTCAAAGACTGAGAATTAGAATCATCAGATACACAAACAAGATTTATGCACTGGTTCCTGTGAACAGAGGGTTGTCTCAGATTATGGAAAGATCCTGCAAAGAAAGACTGAGACTGTCTTAAAAGTACATCAATATAGAAGTTATTCTCAACTACTCTCTTATTTTCTACTGTCCTTGAACAACAGTATTGTTACTCTAGATTTGTTTCCATGTGAAAGGTAACCTAAATGTTTTTAAAATAAATTAACTGGTTTTTATTCCTAATTAAGTTAACCAATTTCTTCTTTATTCTTACACTAAGAACTGCACAGTTATACGTATTATAACTAATTTAGTTCTGAAATCCAAACCCACAGTACACATCTTGTCTGCTTCTGTGTTTAGATATTCTGGTTACAATTCTGCTTGTTCTGTTCTTTGCCAGAGAACAAGCTGTATAATAGAAGTACACACATAAAAAGGCTTTTCAGTACTTCTGCATTAACTCCTAGAAATGAGATTTGCTGTAAATGCATTCAAGTGTTTTAAAAAAAAAATAAAACCTGAATAGCATTTGTTGTGAAACTAGCTTTATTTGGATAAAAACAAGTAGAGACCATTTTTGTTCCTTGTTCAGCACATTTCTGAGATGGCTCTAGCCAGCTGCAGTGGGAAGCGAGGAGATATACACCAGGCCAGCAATAATGGAATGACAGAATGGCTTAGGCTGAAAGGAGTTTTCCAGGATTACACAGAAAACTAAGCAGAAAGCTTTGTAATGCTAAAGGATCCACTTCCATAATGTGTATGTAAGTTTTATGGTGCCTTTTATTTAAGTAGGTTGATCCGAAAATAATGCCTCCTATTTATTTCCATGAAAACAAGAACAGCACTATTTGATAAAATTCTCAACTACAAAACAATATATATATATATTTTTTAACATAGGCACCACCATTAGCTACGCATTTTCACCAGTGATGAACAAAGGCCTGCACACCTTGCTCACAAAAATACGCATGGCTTGTTTTGTCTTTCACATTGCTGTCCCCACTGCTGAAATGTACCATCCACTGCCTCACTGTGCTCACTTCCACTGTTTGGTCTCCATAAATGTTCAGCAAATATCAATGAACGTAAGTTCTCCACATGCAGGAATTCAATGACACACCTTTACTTCATTTGCACTTTCAAGCCAGACACCCTTTGTCCCTCTGCTACCATCTGTCACATGGCAACAAAATGTAACAGAACACTGGCAGGAAGTACCACCAAACTCTCTTCTGACATCATGAGCCAACATAACAAAAAACAGGAGGCATTACTTCCACAGCAATATTTGCATTTCAGCTTATTTTATGAAGTGTATGATCAGTCATGTGACCTCTCTGTCCAACTGCACTCTTTCAGAGATTGTGCTCTGATCCACTCTGAGTAAGGAATAGTAGTAGAATACTGAACTGTATTTTTAATGTAGTGCTTAACCCTTCCAGCTTTCACGTTTCAGAATAATACTACTGAAAAAAAGTTATGCTTTCCTTTTCCATTCATTTAATGTGAACTGCAAACTCTTCACTTATGACACTTCAGACAAATGCTGTTATCCAAGACTCTGATTTTGGCTATTCTTTAAGCCCCTTTATATTGCAGCAATAACTATGTCTGAATATTTTTGGAAAACACTTAAGTTCCTGGTACTACTTAAGTATATTTCTCTACTCATGAAGACTAGCTGACCCCAAACTACCATCTACTCCTCCAGTGGCTCTGACTACTTTGAAAAGTAACTTTGTACTTTCAAAAAAAAAAAAAAAAAAAAAAAGACTGAAAGTAGTAAAAAATAGTGCTGCAGTTACTATCAATATTATATATTTCTTGCT